TGTATTGGGATGACTCATATAGTGGGGTAGCTCTGCAGAGTGGTCACTAGCTGGCACAGCCACAAATAAATACAATCTGATGTTAAACCTAACACTAACCACACTGCTAACCCTAACCTTCAATTAGGACCAAAAAGCTCATTTTGGTTTTCATGAATTTGTATAATATTGCCAATTCTGACTTTGCAGCTGGCCCATCTAGTGGAAATCGCTAAGTTCTGTTTCCAAGGCAGGATTCATGACAAACGTCAACTTGCATTAATTTGTGGTACAGTGTTACCTGAGATTTGTATCTCTCTCCGCTTCTGCAATGTGCGTGTTGGCGGTGGCAACCGTTGGTTCTGAGAACTGTTCCAGATCTTAGCTGTGTCGCTCTAGACATGCAGGTGGTCTGGTCACTGCTGTTGGCCTGATAAACTAGCCATAGAGTATCAGGTGGCCAAAAGGTTGAATGGAAATCTAGAGTGGGTCAACCCTGATCAACCCTGATTACTGAATGGATGTCCAGCTGTTCAGACAGATGAGCAGAGAAGAATGATTCCCTCATATGTTGATTGGTAGGAGGAGCTTAGTGGGGATGAAAGAGAGGCTGAAATAATTTGTGTAAGAAAAAACAGCAAATTATGTGTTTGGGGCTGTGACCAATGATGTACAGTATATCATCTCTGGATTGTTGATGCTATGTATTGGCCAATAAGAGACTTTCATTTTTTATTTGTATGTTTAGGTCACATATAATTTTTAAGCATGCATTGGGGTGCCTGTAATAGAATAAACGTGGCAAAAACAAATGTAGAAATTATAGCTTCCTAAATATTTTGGGAGATTGTTAAGATTGAGGCGTGGTGGCTTCAAAACAAGCGCCCCTTTTAGTCATCTAATGTATATATAAATCAGTGGCTGTGACTCATCCTGTGTGCTTTCCTAATTCATTCCCCTCTGTTCTGGCTCTGAAATTAGAATACATAATTTTCTATTCGGTCAACAAAATAATAATACTTTAATATCAATGGTTCAGGAAACCTGGCCAAAGACAAATCCTAAGGTAGAGTACAATATATGTAATATTATATTGTACAGTGAGGGAAAAAAGTATTTGATCCCCTGCTGATTTTGTACGTTTGCCCACTGACAAAGACATGATCAGTCTATAATTTTAATGGTAGGTTTATTTGAACAGTGAGAGACAGAATAACAACAAAAAAATCCAGAAAAACGCATGTCAAAAATGTTATAAATTGATTTGCATTTTAATGAGGGAAATAAGTATTTGACCCCTCTGCAAAACATGACTTAGTACTTGGTGGAAAAACCCTTGTTGGCAATCACAGAGGTCAGATCTTTCTTGTAGTTGGCCACCAGGTTTGCACACATCTCAGGAGGGATTTTGTCCCACTCCTCTTTGCAGATCTTCTCCAAGTCATTAAGGTTTCGAGCCTGACGTTTGGCAACTCGAACCTTCAGCTCCGTCCACAGATTTTCTATGGGATTAAGGTCTGGAGACTGACTAGGCCACTCCAGGACCTTAATGTGCTTCTTCTTGAGCCACTCCTTTGTTGCCTTGACCGTGTGTTTTGGGTCATTGTCATGCTGGAACACCCATCCACAACCCATTTTCAATGCCCTGGCTGAGGGAAGGAGGTTCTCACCCAAGATTTGACGGTACATGGCCCCGTCCATCATCCCTTTGATGCGGTGAAGTTGTCCTGTCCCCTTTGCAGAAAAACACCCCCAAAGCATAATGTTTCCACCTCCATGTTTGACGGTGGGGATGGTGTTCTTGGGGTCATAGGCAGCATTCCTCCTCCTCCAAACACGGCGAGTTGAGATGATGCCAAAGAGCTCGATTTTGGTCTCATCTGACCACAACACTTTCACCCAGTTCTCCTCTGAATCATTCAGATGTTCATTGGCAATCTTCAGAAGGGCCTGTATATGTGCTTTCTTGAGCAGGGGGACCTTGCGGGCGCTGCAGGATTTCAGTCCTTCACGGCGTAGTGTGTTACCAATTGTTTTCTTGGTGACCATGGTCCTAACTGCCTTGAGATCATTGACAAAATCCTCCCGTGTAGTTCTGGGCTGATTCCTCACCATTCTCATGATCATTGCAACTCCACGAGGTGAGATCTTGCATGGAGACCCAGGCAGACAGTTATTTTGTGTTTCTTCCATTTGCGAATAATCGCACCAACTGTTGTCACCTTCTCACCAAGCTGTTTGGCAATGGTCTTGTAGCCCATTCCAGCCTTGTGTAGGTCTACAATCTTGTCCCTGACATCCTTGGAGAGCTCTTTGGTCTTGGCCATGGTGGAGAGTTTGGAATCTGATTGATTGATTGCTTCTGTGGACAGGTGTCTTTTATACAGGTAACAAACTGAGATTAGGAGCACTCCCTTTAATAGTGTGCTCCTAATCTCAGCTCGTTACCTGTATAAAAGACACCTGGGAGCCAGAAATCTTTCTGATTGAGAGGGGGTCAAATACTTATTTCCCTCATTAAAATGCAAATCAATTTATAACATTTTTGACATGCGTTTTTCTGGATTTTGTTGTTGTTATTCTGTCTCTCACTGTTCAAATAAACCTACCATTAAAATTATAGACTGATCATTTTTTTGTCAGTGGGCAAACGTACAAAATCAGCAGGGGATCAAATACTTTTTTCCCTCACTGTATATAGCAGTATACTTACCATTAACCCTACGATTGCCCCTCACTCATACAACCTTGGGATCCTTTTCCTGATTTGCAGCCCTGCCCCTGCCAATCCCAATCTAGATGAAACATGAGAAGAATGTCCATGAATTATCTATAAGTACCCAGGTCACTGGATGATTGGTGGCTCTGTTAACCTTTGCTGACACTAATCCTGTACAGAGATTGACATTGAGCTGCTGTGCTGGTGTGTCTTAATCTGTCCATCAACCTCTCCATTAGCTAAATGATAATGAGATGGACTTCATTGTATCCATCAAACCTGAGCTGAGAGATTACTGTAAATCAAATATGCCCGCTCAGTAAACTATTAGGAATCTCATGATTGATCATTAGCTCATCAAGTTGAGTTTTTTTATTTATTTTTTTACTTTTTTCCACACAACCTCTAGACAAATCTGGACCGTGTTGTGTTGTCATAAAGTGGGTTCAGTCCAGCAGTTAGTCAGTCCATATAGGTAGGTCTGGGAGCTCCTCAAGACTCGGGCGAGGGGAGACGATGCCTCGTGGCTAGCCCACTGTGAACGGCCCAGACGAAGATGAATGGCTGGGACCAGGCTTCTCTCCCGGTGTCAACGGCATTACAGTGTGGGATGAAGAATGAATGTGGCTCTCAGAGCGTGGCCACCATACACATCACTCCTCCGCCCCGCGGGAGACCGGGATGAGTTACAGGCCAAGCGGATGGTCCTCCCACCGGCACCTGCTCTCACACACCAATGACAGGCAGGTCACAGTCCTGTCTTTAGCTACATCCTGGGAAGGAAACCTAATGGGTTGAAGTGGCAGAAGGGTATTCAATGTGATCCAACTTTTTTATTTGACTATTTATCACCTGTGCTGACTTAGGGATTTTATATGGCATCACTAATTATGGCATCAACTCGGGACTCTAACACACGCACAAACACACACATGCACGCACACTCAAACGAATGCATGTACGCATGCATGCACACACACACACAAACACACGATAGATGTTGGAAAAGCTACTTTAAACATTAACACATTCTCAAGCCAAAAGTTAGCAGTTAAAATAACTGTGAGGGATTTAAACACACATCTGGTAACGGAAGGTCACCTGGCACAATACACTAGCATCTTTCTCTCTTGTAGCGATCCCTGCTGTTTGTTGAGGGATCCGGGAGAGTAATGGGGATGTGATGGTGGGGTTTTACCAAGCACTAGTAGGCCCTGTAAAATATTCATCAGAAAAGGCCACCAGAAGATGGATGACTGGTCCCGCCCCTCTGGTGGCGTGCTAGGTAGAATGGGTGGCAGAGATGGAGAGGTCACAGCCGGTGAGCATTTTAAACATCCGATGGCCTCAGGGCCCCTGGGAGCTAACAGCTCACTCAGGATCCGGCGGGAGGGACAGGAGCCAGGATGCAGTGATATATGAGTGTAATCTCCACTTTGTCTTTTTCTCTTTTACTTTCTTGCTTTTTTTTAGAACGTACACAGGGCCCCTGTGCCAAATGTACTGAAGCATCGCTGGATCACTGATTAGGTTGTAACATCTATGGAGTATGCACAGTTAGTGCAATGAGTCTTCACTCAGCTTCGAAGAAAGCGGTCATGGCCAGCACTGTGATGAAGCACTTGCTGCAAAGGCCTTTGCACTTTACTCGTTCTGGAAATATTACTATTAGGGGTAAAGTTCACTGCTGCCATCCTGAGGATGTAAAGTGTAACACAGTAGTATATAGGCTGATCCCTCTAGTGAGCTACTATAGTACTATGCTGTAAAATTCCCTTTGACTTAACTTGACTAGTGATTTTAATGAATGCACTATGGCTCACAAAAAAACACCACCGAAATGTATAAATCAAAATGTTTATCTACAATCAGATGGTCCATCTGTAACAGAAACTTCACAAAACCAAAATAGTTTAACTCTGTTTACACATTTCACAATTATTTTACTCTATATAATATCTAGGATCACATTTTACAAATGTGTACAAATGATTCACAAAACAATGCATACAAATACATAAATATATGGAAAAAACTAAAACTTGCAGGGACAAACCCTCTAGCTTGAACTGCTTCAAGCTTACTCAAAACAAAACACTCAACTAAGTCATCAATTTACATCCTGTATAGCCATGCTCAATTGAGCATGTGGGCAACACTTTACTTGAAGCCTCTGTCATAAGGCCTACATAGCTAATACTGTCCTAACAATGACACACCAAACAGTTGTCATGACTGTTTAGGACATCTCGTCATCATTATGACAGAGGCGTGTAGTACAGCGCCCCCTCTACATGCAGCGTCAGTAGGCTCTCCCAAAGTGCTTGTTGACTTTGGCGATGAAGACTACCAGATTGATGAGGAAGTACTGTCTCTGCTTTTTTAGCCACAATACATTACTGTTATAATAGAGAAAAAAGTCCACTCCCTGGTTGCTGCTCCACATATGTGATACATTACTTAAGCAATGGGTTATATATACAGTACATATATGGTGTCAGGTAAACCAACCCAACCTTGCCACGCAAAAACAAACAAAAAGGGGCCTTCATCTATCCTCTGATGCATGGGTCATGTGGGGTTGGTTTACCTTGCCCTCTGGGTCATGTGGGTTTGGTTTACCTTGCCCTCTGGTTCATGTGGGGTTGGTTTACCTTGCCCTCTGCATCCTGGTACTTGACCAGGAAGTGCTGGCCCTCGTAGTCGTCGGAGAAGGGCTCCTTGTTGTTTAGTGTCATTGAAACAGGCGTGCTGACACACCAGAAGGGATTCTGGTACTCATCCATCAGGGTCAGGCTCATCATACAGCAGTTCTACAGAGAGAAGGGAGTGAGAAAGAGACATAGAGAGAGACAGAGAGAGTAAGACATATAGAGAGAGTGCAAGAGACTATTTATGTCTGCTGTTCTGTAATTACAATAACCCCATCTTCTAGGCCTAGTGGTATGCACGCAAGACTAAGCCGCTTTGGATAAAACATCTGCTAAATGGCATATACAGTGGGGAAAAAAAGTATTTAGTCAGCCACCAATTGTGCAAGTTCTCCCACTTAAAAAGATGAGAGAGGCCTGTAATTTTCATCATAGGTACACGTCAACTATGACAGACAAAATGAGAAAAAAAAATCCAGAAAATCACATTGTAGGATTTTTAATGAATTTATTTGCAAATTATGGTGGAAAATAAGTATTTGGTCAATAACAAAAGTTTCTCAATACTTTTTTATATACCCTTTGTTGGCAATGACACAGGTCAAACGTTTTCTGTAAGTCTTCACAAGGTTTTCACACACTGTTGCTGGTATTTTGGCCCATTCCTCCATGCAGATCTCCTCTAGACCAGTGATGTTTTGGGGCTTTCGCTGGGCAACACAGACTTTCAACTCCCTCCAAAGATTTTCTATAGGGTTGAGATCTGGAGACTGGCTAGGCCACTCCAGGACCTTGAAATGCTTCTTACGAAGCCACTCCTTCGTTGCCCGGGCGGTGTGTTTGGGATCATTGTCATGCTGAAAGACCCAGCCACGTTTCATCTTCAATGCCCTTGCTGATGGAAAGAGGTTTTCACTCAAAATCTCACGATACATGGCCCCATTCATTCTTTCCTTTACACGGATCAGTCGTCCTGGTCCCTTTGCAGAAAAACAGCCCCAAAGCATGATGTTTCCACCCCCATGCTTCACAGTAGGTATGGTGTTCTTTGGATGCAACTCAGCATTCTTTGTCCTCCAAACACGACGAGTTGAGTTTTTACCAAAAAGTTCTATTTTGGTTTCATCTGACCATATGACATTCTCCAAATCCTCTTCTGGATCATCCAAATGCACTCTAGCAAACTTCAGACGGGCCTGGACATGTACTGGCTTACGCAGGGGGACACGTCTGGCACTGCAGGATTTGAGTCCCTGGCGGCGTAGTGTGTTACTGATGGTAGGCTTTGTTACTTTGGTCCCAGCTCTCTGCAGTTAATTCATTAGGTCCCACCGTGTGGTTCTGGGATTTTTGCTCACCGTTCTTGTGATCATTTTGACCCCACAGGGTGAGATCTTGCGTGGAGCCCCAGATCGAGGGAGATTATCAGTGGTCTTGTATGTCTTCCATTTCCTAATAATTGCTCCCACAGTTGATTTCTTCAAACCAAGCTGCTTACCTATTGCAGATGCAGTCTTCCCAGCCTGGTGCAGGTCTACAATTTTGTTTCTGGTGTCCTTTGACAGCTCTTTGGTCTTGGCCATAGTGGAGTTTGGAGTGTGACTGTTTGAGGTTGTGGACAGGTGTCTTTTATACTGAAAACAAGTTCAAACAGGTGCCATTAATACAGGTAACGAGTGGAGGACAGAGGAGCCTCTTAAAAAAGAAGTTACAGGTCTGTGAGAGCCAGAAATCTTGCTTGTTTGTAGGTGACCAAATACTTATTTTCCACCATAATATGCAAATAAATTCATTAAAAATCCTACAATGTGATTTTCTGGATTTTTTTCCCTCAATTTGTCTGTCATAGTTGACGTGTACCTATGATGAAAATTACAGGCCTCTCATCTTTTTAAGTGGGAGAACTTGCACAATTGGTGGCTGACTAAATACTTTTTCCCCCCACTGTATTATCATATACAGTGGCATACGAAAGTATTCACCATCCTTGGCATTTTTCCTATTTTGTTTCCTTACAACCTGGAATTAAAATTGATTTTTTGGGGGGGTTGTATCATTTGATTTACACAACATGCCTAGCACTTTGAAGATGCAAAATATTTTTGAGTGTGAAACAAACAAGAAATAAGACAAAAAAACAGAACTTGAGCGTGCATAACTATTCACCCCCCAAAGTCAATACATTGTAGAGCCACCTTTTGCAGCAATTACAGCTGCAAATCTCTTGGGGTAGGTCTCTATAAGCTTGGCACATCTAGCCACTGGGATTTTGCCCATTCTTCAAGGCAAAACTGCTCCAGTTCCTTCAAGTTGGAAGGGTTCCGCTGGTGTACAGTAATCTTTAAGTCATACCACAGATTCTCAATTGGATTGAGGTCTGGGGTTTGACTAGGCCATTCCAATACATTTAAATGTTTCCCCTTAAACTACTCGAGTGTTGCTTTAGCAGTATGCTTAGGGTCATTGTCCTACTGGAAGGTGAACCTCCGTCCCAGTGTCAAATCTCTGGAAGACTGAAACAGGTTTCGCTCAAGAATTTCCCTGTATATAGCGCCATCCATCATTCCTTCAATTCTGAGCAGTTTCCCAGTCCCTGCTGATGAAAAACATCCCCACAGCATGATGCTGCCACCCCAATGCTTCACTGTGGATGGTGTTCTCGGGGTGATGAGAGGTGTTGGGTTTGCGCCAAACATAGCGTTTTCCTTGATGGCCAAATAGCTAAATTTTTGTCTGATCTGACCAGAGTACCTTCTTCCATATGTTTGGGGAGTCTCCCACATGCCTTTTGGCGAACACCAAACATGTTTGCTTATTTTTTTATTAAAGCAATGTTTTTTTTTTGCCACTCTTCCGTAAAGCCTAGCTCTGTGGAGTGTACCGCTTAATGTGGTCCTATGGACAGACACTCTAATCTCTGCTGTGGAGCTTTGCAGCTCCTTCAGGGTTATCTTTGGTCTCTTTGTTGACTCTCTGATTAATGCCCTCCTTGCCTGGTCCATGAGTTTTGGTGGGCGGCCCTCTCTTGGCAGGTTTGTTGTGGTGCCATATTCTTTCCATTTCTTTATAATGGATTTAATGGTGCTCCGTGGGATGTTTAAAGTTTCTGATATTTTTTTATAACCCAGCCCTGATCTGTACTTCTCCACAACTTTGTTCCTGACCTGTTTGGAGAGCTCCTTGGTCTTCATGGTGCCGCTTGTGTGATGAGGTGGTGTTGAAGGAGTCAGGCGCAGGAGGGTAAATCACAGAAAAACAGGCTTTAATCCGCAAAATGCAGAACTGCGTCAAACACACTCCAGGGCACAAAACAGGTGCACTGGAAAATACAAGGCACACAGGAAAATACTCCCGTCTAACAAAATACACGAGCTCCACCGAGCTTCACTAACCTTCACAATAAACAATCACCCACAAGGACAAGGGGGCAGAGGGAACACTTATACACAGACTAATTAGGGGATTAGAACCAGGTGTGTGTGATAACGAGACAAGACAGTTGTGATGATTGGGGCGGCAGTGGTTAGTACTCCGGTGACGACGAACGCCGAAGCCTGCCTGAACAAGGAGGGGAGGCAGCTTTGGCCGAAGTCATGACAGCTTGCTAGGTGGTGCCCCTTGCTTAGTGGTGTTGCAGACTCTGGGGCCTTTCAGAACAGGTGTATATATAATGAGATCATGTGACACTTAGATTGTACACAGGTGGACTTTATTTAACTAATTATGTGACTTCTGAAGGTAATTGGTTGCACCAGATCTTATTTAGGGGCTTCATAGCAAAGGGGGTGAATACATATGCACGCACCACTTTTCCGTTATTTATTTTTCCGAATTTTTTGAAACAAGTTATATTTTTCAATTCACTTCACCAATTTGGACTATTTTGTGTATGTCCATTACATGAAATCCAAATAAAAATCCATTTAAATTACAGGTTGTAATGCAACAAAATAGGAAAAACGCCAAGGGGGATGAATACTTTTGCAAGGCACTGTATTATAAAGTGTAACCTCAACCAGTGGGAGTCAGTGTTCCCTACAGTACCTCCACGGTGCCCTCCAGAGCTTCACACTTCCAGGGCTTACTGATCCTGCCAGAGAGCGGCGTGTGCTGGGACAGGCTACCCCTATTGATGACATTCAGCTAGATGACACTACCATAGACCTAAACTGGACAACCACAACCAAAGTCAACTACAGACTGTGGTATGGTACAGCGGCATTCTGGTACCCAAAGTATATAGTTCTAGAATAGAAACTCTCTGGGTAGTATTTGTTTACTTTTGCGGCAGTAGAGTTGAGGGAAGTGGCCGGCAATTATCTGGGTTTCAATGTTGTGCAGTATAATACAGAGCGTGTAACCATGGAGGCCGAAGTTAGGGTCCACGTCATCAAAAGGAGGCTTGTCCTCTGGCATGGAGTAGGGGGTGGGAATGAGAGAAGTACTGACTGAATGATTAAATTATTTAATCTATCATGCATCCATCATCCTTTTGTGCTGAAATAGAACCTGAAATACAAAGGACATAATCCAGCCAAGCTCTGCTCAAACGTCCCCTCCAACCCCCTCTTGTCAGACATTGATCTCCCAGGTCACACGCTGGCTCCTGAGGCAGGGGAGAGGAGAACAAAATACTTTTAATTTAATCTGGCCCAATGAGTTTCAATGAGTAGGTTCTGACAATACTACAGTAGCATATGTTTTATATATTGTATGTTTTATACTTAACAGGGCAGGCCTGTGAAGGGGTTAATGTCTCTCAACTGCTTCCTCCACTTGGTGTCGTTAAAGCCAACCATGGTCCTGAAATACAGCTTTCTCCAGTAGCCCTCTCATGGACCACCACCACACTCAGCTTGTCCAGCACCTGGTGGGGGAAAACACCAATGATAATACAAAAATTATCCTCTGTAGCTCAGCTGGTAGAGCACGGCGCTTGTAACACCAAGGTAGTGGGTTCGATCCCCGGGACCACCCATACACAAAAATGTATGCACGCATGACTGTAAGTCACTTTGGATAAAAGCGTCTGCTAAGTGGCATGTTAAAAAGTATTGTGCTCACAAGCATATAATGCTCATAACAAGTGTCCCTGCTGGGATAAGCAAAAAAGGAGTGTTATAAAATTGAATTTCACTGATCCTTGTCCATATGCTTGAGCCTCCACTTCTTACTCTGTCCATACTCTGCAGAGTACATATTGTGCTACATTCCACTGCAAGAAAATACTGTGGGTCAAAAATGATCATGCAAGACTGTAGGGAGGAAGAATAGCCTACAATGTGACCAGTACTTCACTCCTTACTTATTGTTGGCCAGCTTATTGAAGCGCTTGTTGACGTAGCCTATGGAGAAGAGAGGCATCCATGTACGACAGGATCTTCAGAAGGATTTCCGGTGGCATCCTAATAAAACACCAATTAGACATGATTACAAAATGAATTAGAATGCTCAATCTTTTCTGTCTAGTGCAAACCCAATTGAGCAATCAGATTGCAGGGCATTGAACTAGTAACATTATGCAACCCCTTTATCCGTGTCAAGTGGGTACCACAAAAACCCACTTTTGCCTCTCTGTGATTGTGAGTAACTACACTCAGCTGGCTTGAAAGCATGTCCAGTAGACCTTGGCGGCATGCTTGGTAGTGGTACAACTGGTTGACAGTACAGTGCCTTCTTTTTCCTCTAATTATTTTGTGGCAGTGCTTGACTTGGGCAGAATCTCACAGGAGCTGAGTACCAGCACCTCAAATGTTTTACTGCTTGAGCTCCTGTTCATCTTAGAATATTAACTCAAAAGTATTGTGGCACTCCTTCACCTAAATATAAAAACAGTACCGGCACCTATTTCAGTCTAAGTCAAGCACTGGGCAGTGGTGCTGGTTCCACACAAGCATAGAGAAAGACAGATGCAACATAATTTTTCAATTAGCACAAGTCAACAAAAGTCAGTGGCCAACTCAAGTTAGCTACGGTAGCCGGTTAGCTATTTGGTGTTCAGTGCACACTGTCAACAAGAGTTGTTGACATCCACAACTACCTTTGAGTGCCCGGGGAAATTCCAGGCATTTTATCGCAGCGTTTGCTGTTCTATTTGCCTGTTGGTCCCATAGACTGTAAAACCATGGCAGGGCATTCTTCAACAAACTCTCTTTGAAACTGCGGAAAAGTTGTCCGCGGCCATAGCTAGCTACTGTAGCTACTGTAGCTAGCTACTGTACTTAGCAGGTGAAGCTACAGGATGCTGTCAAGTTGAAGTTATTCGAAAGCCCTGTCTAACTAGCTAGGCACACATTGAAAACCTGTAATGAGACTATTCAACCAAATCCTCTGCTTTCAACAGTGCAAAAGCTCAGTGCATTTCCACGATATTCCAACACGTGAGTTTGTTATTGTTCTTATCACATTTAAATGGCCATCGAGTCAAGATCACTGCTGCCATCCATAGGATGTAAAGTGTAATAGCAGGCAGTGAAGCTGATCCCTTCAGTAGGTTTCCCCTTTCATGTGTGGTAGGCTGTGCTTCAAAATCCACTTTCAATGATGTTATTCGTTTTAATTCATGCAACATGGGTGAATAATTACTTGTCATTCATGAATAGGTCACTGAGATAAAAAGGAAAATCACACACATACATCAAAGTAATCAAAACACAGATGTTATACAAAATATCAAATTTATTTTTGATTGAAAAAAAAATATTTTTTGCACATGCAAACAATATTTGATCACCATAAATATTGTCCAATGATTTCTCTTTTTTCTCTTTGATTCACAGAGCAAGCACAGAACCACAGACTTAAACATCTTATCTTGAGGACACCATGGAGAATGCTTGCACTGTTTACAGTAAGAATAAATCTTAATGCACATAAAAAGGCAGTCTGAAAATCAAGTATAAACATTTAGAAATTATCTACATATGGAGAAAAGTACAAAAATGCAACAGCATAGACATACACGCATTCACAAAAGAATGATTTTGTATTATGACTTTAAAACCTTTTGACAAATGGATACATAACATAATGCATAACTTTGGACAAATAATAAAATGTAAGCTATTTTGCCTGCTCAACATTTCACATTCCTTTTTGGCAATCCATCTTTAGATTTTCTATTTTTTAATAAACATAGAAGAACCCTGTAATCATTATACAGCACGATATTACACTTCAGATATCTTAGCTGATGGGCATTTAAAGAATGTGTCTGATAGGTCTCTCTCCGACTGGTTTTCACTATCAATACAATTTAAACATCTTTCATTTTTAATCATGGATTGACATATTGTCCATTATGATTATGCACATCAAACGGTGGTGATGTTAAACTATTACAGGATAGGATCATGGGTTATGAAAATTGGTTAATATAGGGCTTTAAAAGCTGTCAAAAATACAGGACAATGTTTGTCTAGCGGCTATAATACCCTCTCCAGTTAATTACAATCAGCTGGATGCATCCTTTATTTAGCACTCATTTAGCCCATAAGCCACGACTACTGGTTTAGAGGTTGTAGGTACAGTATGTAGGTCATCACTCCCTTTCTCTTGACTCCAAAAATAGGTTGCCAATAGGTCTATAAGAGTGTAAACAAGTAAACGGTGCAGAATCTTGAGGGCACACCTAGACATCTTTACTGAAATGGCTGAGTGGGTAACACAGCCCTCTCCGACAAACAACAGAACATTACACCGGCAATGTAGTTAGCAGCACACCACTAAGATCACGACTCTTAACTACATGTCCTCTTTTTGGGAAAAAGAATGCAAAGACATGAATGCACACTGACCACACACACAGCCTACACCTACACACACAACAATGCTTTTCCATTCATCAGACAAAACATACCCCTTTGTGCAATTGGAAGGCAAACACAGAAGGTTCTCTTTAACCGTCTTTTTTTTTTTATCAAACAAAGATGCAGAGATGCAACCCAGGGGTTCTTGGCAGACTACTGTTAGTTTAAAAACAACCTTGTTCAACCATAGAAAATGAGGAATGTCATGCTCATATTGTTTTCATAAAGGCCACTGAGATGGTTCAAACATCTTACCCAATGTAGCTTCCTCTCCTTGTTGTAATGCTCTGTGGCCAACCACCCTGCAGACTTCTAGGTTCTGTGAGTGATTCAACCCTTTGTCACCCTCATGTTTGTGATGTATTGCACTGAATAAAGCCTCTGGATTAGCAGCCAGCATTACTGACGGAATGCCATCAATAACAGTGTAGTTCAGTTGTTGCTCTAGTGTTCCAGGAGTATGGTCTGTCTCCTAGTATTGACATCTGACTATCACAACATTGATTTTCTTTTGCCACGTCATGTCTGTTAGAGACCTTATGGCACAATTGCCATGGAAACCATCTCGGGTTGTAACAAAAAAAAAATAGGCTACTCTGTTGTTACCCTACTTGTAACAAATGCACACAAATGCATTATCAGCATTGTCCTGATTTCCAAAGTCCCTTAATAACCATTTGATTAAAGAAAACAGTGGTAGAATGTCATGAAAATCCTAGTTTGTACTCCTATGTTTTCCTCCACCTCAAATATATCACAGTTATACAGTATGTGTGAGCAAAGTGAATTTGGCACTGAGTACATGTACGTAAGTATGTGTATTCATCATTAGAACATGAATGTTGTATCGCTGAATATATTAGATTAGGCTCACATATATTGTCCTGTAATACATACGCACACGTTGCCATTGTAGTTGTGTGCTGTAGATTCGGCTGATTTGATTGTGTGTACTGTATGCAATTTACTTTTCTGGGATCAGCTGGGGACCGTTTATTTTACCGGAGAGAGTCTCTTGAGCAGTTTCTTCCCCTTGGAGAGCAGTCCCTTTTTCTTTTTGTTGTCCCGGGGGTCCCTGGGGCCCCTGGCGGGGCTGATGGGCCGCATGGTGCCTGGGGGACACAGGGGACGCACTGTGGGGGACGCTGCTCGGACAGGCAGGGCTGTACTCTCTGTGGTTTCCATGGCTACCTGAAGAGAGATGCCATGGTGGGGGTAGGGGCAGGGCATTACAAAGCAAGTAGATGTCCTTTGTGGCCTATCCTTTCTCTGTCTGAGGTAGGACTAGGACACTCAGTCTACAGTCAGCACTGTGTCCTTCAATAACAATATCACCCCACTGTCATTTGAGTAACACGATCCATCTACAGTAACACTATGAATCCAATGGGACTTTAAAAGACTTTGGGTTCAGTGCTCAAGTAGATCCATTACTGACAGTTGCCCAGCCATAGAAATAGAATGAAGGGTTGGTATGCCAAATAGCCATTTCTAGAGAGTCTAATTACATTTCCAACGATTCTTGAATTTGATATGCTATGTGTGCTGACCTTGAGACTTCTCAACAATAGCTATCAATATACACAAGTATGCAAACGTAACTTTATATAAAGTCATAGAAAAAAATATAACAATGCCATTGCAGATCATTATACTTACTGTCGGTTTTCCACTGAAATGTGTGTCAAATACATACCTAACATTTATGTTTGGGCAATTCCACAATAACGGAATTACACTGAGACTCCAATTTTTCACTTTAAAATGTATGCCAAATAAAAACCATCGATTTCTAAGTTTATCAAACCATACAACTCTATGCACAATGATTACTTTGAACAATTTACAATAAAAAAAAACAGAATCCCTCAGTTTTATTCTGTTACCAAACATTGCATCGGCACAGTTCTTTCTGTAAATGGGTTTTTGTAAAATGTTCTGTGGAAATTGTTCAAAGTAGTCCTTGTGCATATAATTATATGGTTTATTAAACGTCAAAATCAATGGTTTTTGTTTGGTATACATTTTAAAGTGAAAAATCTGAGTCTCAGCGTAATTCCGTTACCATGGAATTGCCCGTTTCAAATAATTAGGGCTGATTTCCCAGACACAGATTTAGCCTAGTCCTGGTCTAAAAGGCATGCTCAATGACAATTCTCCATTGAAATATGTTTTTAGTTCAGGACTAGGCTGAATATGTCCAGGAAACCAGCCCATAATGTTTTTCACCAATGGAGTGAAGTTATTCAGCATTGCAAAACTGTGTGATTGTACTGTACTGTACTTACACCTCTGGTTTAAAAACAAGAGAGAAGAAACAAAGACGTTTATAAAAGAGGTTATGAATCAGGTACTGCTTTTTGGACTGTTATTTAAACTATTCCTTTTTAACTCTGTTGATGGGGGACTGAAGACGTTGGTGGCTCTGGTGAGGTTTTATACAAACACTGAGTTGGAAGCCATCAAACAGGTCGTTACTAGTTACCACATCCACAAAGCCATAAACCTATTTCTACAATTTATATTCTTAAAATCTTATTTTAAACCTAACCCTAACCTTAACCACACTGCTAACCTTATGCCTAACCCTGAGACCAAAAAGCACATTTTTGTTTTCATTAATTTTTATGATATAGCAAATTTTGACTTTGTGGCTGTGGTAACTAGTGAAAACCCATCAAACACAGAGCACAACATCACAACACCACAGGTTCTGATAGGTCACCGATCATGAGGGACACACACAGTAATATACAACACTCAGGGACACAACTGTAGATACCATCCCTCTTGTCTAATGCACTGGGCTGGCAACCAAACATGCTACCATACAGTTCACCTAGGACCTTTAAATGGTCTCTCAAAGTTAAAGAGGAATCATAACTTTGAACCAAATGGGGATTTGCAGTTCCCATTAGTAAATGGTTTATCAATAACTACAGATATAGGGAACTTTTGAGCTTGCAAAATAGAGCACTATCTCAGAGAGTAGTAGTAGTCCACTACTTTGCAGGCGTTAAATCACTGTAAAAAAGTGTTACAAAAGACAACTTTGTAACAATGTCTAATTTATGCTGCAAATAAACATTATGATTACACTAAAAAGGGGAAACACTTTCCTCATTACACCAACTAGTATGTAATACTTTAATGTGTAAGCATAAGCATGACCATGTTGCTATAAACACCTGTGAATGTGTAAGCAGAATGTTCACTGGCTACAAATAAACCATTTAACATAATTTAGGTGTAATATTCACAATGCCCAGCATTAGATCTGTCAGGCTGGTATCTCTAGTTACTCACTTACTGTACGAGGCAGACAGAGCCATTTATGACGTGAAATGAACAATCTTCTTCTGTTTGTATTTGCCAAGCAGGTGAGAAAAAAAGGAAATCAGATGTGGTGACATCATCATTTCAGTACAACCCACACCACAACTATGCTAAAAAAAAAGAAAAAAAAAAGACAATACACACATGAACACAGGTCGCGAATGAAAATGATTAATATCCAATTTCTGCTTTTATTGTTCCATTGTACCATTACAGTATGATGTCTCACTGTGGCTGTTATTTCTTCTGGTTTGGATCAAACATGGAATATCTATCCACTTTCATCACGCCTGAAAAATATATATATTTTTAAGTGTGTGCAGTATACAAAAAGAAACAAAGCCTCTCCCAGGAAATACAGCAGTTGGGCCAATAAAGTATACTATTATATAAAAGGTATCAAGTTTATTTTTGAAAAAGGCATGCTTTGCTATATTATCAACCCTACAGTTTACTCAAATCCTTTACTTCCATTGGGGAACAACTGATAGAAATCAGGAACGCTTCAGAGGTGTTCATAAAGCACTATTAATAGACACAATATCCAGCGTTTGGTTTTGTGTTTCAGTGCAAAGAGGTTACCCAATTATCCTTCTATGTCTCTGTGTAGGAATGATATTCAAATATCCACTGTCCTTTGTCACTGCTCCGTCAATATTACCCGCCCCGTACTGAAATAGTTCAAGTGTTCTATCTCTCTGTCCACTTTGGCCTTTCCTTCTTCCTTTCTAACACTCAGAAGGTATGACTGTGTTTGTCCCTTTCACCAGGCGGGGGATAAGGTTTGTATAGTCACGACTGTCACTGTCACACACGGACAACACACACACACAGAACACAGACGGCAAGTGGAGAAAGCGAGACGTAAATCAAGAGAGACGGAGGATGGATGGACAGAGGGCCTAGCGCTGAGAGCGGCAATGTACCCTTTTGGCCTCGGCCCGGTTGGCGGGCTCGTCTTGGGCGTAGCGAGACGGAGTGTCCGTCAGGTACACCTCCACGTCGTCAGGCACTTCTTCCAGAAAATTAGAGGGGACGAGGCCGCGGTGGCCATTGATTTCACCCTGCAGAGAGAGGAGAGGAGGGGGCAGTGGTGATGAGAACCATGGCTAGACCAACTGAACTCTGGCGGTCAAACCTGAGGGAAAGAGCCCTCTCCTGGGCAAAAGGACATAATATGTGTATGAGCCAGATTCATCCAATGGCATTTCTTAAAAAATTAAGAACTGAAACATCTCTGACTTTAACAACCTTTGAATGGCCCTGTGTAATAATAATAAGTTAGTCACATCATGGAACCAAGAAAAGAGGCATACTCACATAGTAGAACCCATCTTCATCAATCTCTCCAAATACAGCGATGATGTCACCAGCACAGAAGGTCAGCTCAGCCTATCAAGAAACAGAGACGTCATTAACACCCTTACACTGTCTGTCTATCTGGTTACATGTACAGTGTCAGTGTGTAGGTCTGTGGCAATACCTCCACGTCCACATTGGGGGAGCTCTCTCTGGGGTCATAGTCGTAGAGGGCCACCATCCTCCTGGTGGCCTGGTGCTGGCGGAAGCCTCGTCTGTCCTGCCCTATGAGAGGAAACAAGAGGACATGCCAGGAGAAGAGGTGATATAGTGACAGATGTGTGTGTTGTCATAGAGAGATACGTGTGTCCTGCCCAGTATGTTACCTAGGGTACGTTCGTAAATTCCCTCTAGCTATCTACTCCGATTTCAGACCATTCTTGTCTGAGTATGCCAGAATGCAGAATAACTGATGAATTTACGAATGTGCAACACCTGCTGAAAATGACCGGTGTCAGTAAAGGTCGGCAAAAAAAGTATTGAAATTGTTGCCAGCAGCACAGTTACAGTCACTAACGCTCTAGATTACATGAAAACAGCCTAACCAGCTCTGCTAGGGCTAGTAAAATGGTCAGAGTGAGGTGTTCTCTCATTTGTGTCTGGAAGTAACTAGCAAGCTAGCAAACTTTAGCCAGTAAGCTTGTGTGCTTGACTGCCGTTGTGAGGTCAGAACGATCGGATCAACCCTACTCCTCGGCCAGAGCGACCAGTGTGGGCTCTGAACGTGCCGAGAGCGAAACGCTCTGAATTTACGAACAGACAATCTGACAACGCTCTGAATTTACGAAGAACCCAGAGCACACTCTGACACACTGGAGACAATTTACAAAAACACCCCTAGAAAAATAATAAATGGGTACAATCAAAATGGCTGCCAGTCCACTCATTATGGAATCATTGACTTGAATGAGGATGTATGTTCTACTCATTCTAGTTCTGTGATTACCTATTCCTACTTTATCCACTGGTGTGTTGAGCGGGAGGAAGCCCTGCTTGATGAGCTGGTCCATGGTCTGCTCATCCTCAGCCCTGATCTCTGACACCATGTTGCAGGGCAAGAGCCCTATCCTGCCTCCCCTGATCTCCCCTCGGTAGAAACCATCTGTGTCCTTATCACCATATACCTGGAACACACAGAGAGACAGACAGACAGACAGAGAGAGAGAGAGACACAGAGAGAGAGAGAGAGAAGAAAAGAGTGAGAGAAAGCGCGACAAAAGAGATGGGATAGGGAAATAAAATTATATTTTCAATGCTGTTTTATATTGTACCTCAAAGTTTTCAAACACAAGCACAATATCTCTCCTCTTATGGCCTAGCCCTGTGTGTGACACCCACCCTAATGATCTGGCCCTCTTTGAAGGGCAGTTCCTCATCTGCTGCGTCCGGGTTGGGAGACATGGACAGGGGGTCGTAGTCAAACAGAGCCACAAAGATCCGGAATGATTCCTCTTGTTCCGACTCATCGTAGTTAGGAGGGGAGCGGCGTTCCCGGTCCCTGTATCCCTCTTAAACACGGGAGAGAGAGAAGAACACATCCACCTGCATCTCATAGGGTCACAGTCTATGGCTTTATGTTACTCTGACATTAAGTTACATTAATGCTAGATTCATATAGCATGAGAAACACAAATATATATTTTTACTGAATTTTGCCACTCAGTAACACTAGTGCGTAGTAGTGAGGCATGTTACGCATGCTATTGTGCATGGACTGAATGAGGGGAAGAGGCATATACAGACAGTTGCGATGTTTACAAGTGACTGACAAGTGAGAGAGCAAAACCATTTAGTTGACCATGCAGTACTACATAATGGATTGAGCTTGTCTCGTCAAACCAACACTTCATTTTGTAGCATGCTAGCATAATTCTGTGGTCAATCCATCAATTGGTCCCATTATCAGCACAGAGACAAAAGTATATAATGTTATGTACATCCATTTGACACCACATACAGTATGAGCTTATGGCGCTATCAGGCGTTACATACTTTACATTTACACATGGATGGAGATTGGATAGCAAGCCAGATGTGATGGGTTACAAGAACATGGTAGACACCATAGACAAAAACACTATGACACACAGCAACACACACACAGAAACGAGCACATAGACTACAAGACTCTGAGTTAAGCATGCATACTACTGAACCCTGAGGTAGTGATCTGACTATTGTATTATGCTCCTCTAAAGTACAATGGGCCTACAGTTTGTCCAAAGACAACTCTCTGTCTGTCCTTCAGTTGATCCCTTGCTTAGAAACGATAAAATAAGACCAGGCCATCAGCATAGTAAATATATGAAATCCCGAACAGAGTTTGTCAATTCGTTTGTCTCTCTATGTATTTTCACTATAACTTTCTGTAACAGTCATTGAGTTTGCTCAGCAAGGACAGCATTGCTATATAATTTTGTCTTCAGCAACCATGACTCCTCCCACCCAGTCATGCATAGTAACCCCAGTAAAGGTGTGGTGGGGGTGGTTAGATTGAGAGGGGGAGGGGTTTAGCAGGCATCTGATGTTCAGTGCAAGGGAGGGAGGGGAGAAGCATTCTCTGAGCAGCAGTCATTCCAATCCGCAACATTGGGTGGCCATCATGGGCCCAGTGTGGCTCAGCAAGGGAGGGGAAAAGCATTCTCTGAGCACCAGTCATTCCAATCCGCAACATTGGGCGGCCATCATGGGCCCAGTGTGGCTCAGCGAGCCGCCATTTTGGTGCAGTGCATTGGATCATGCTAGGTGTTCTGAGGCATGTTAAGCCACTCGTTGGTGTCACTACTCTTCTCTTCACTAGCACTGGTGCCTTTTGGCAGTGCTTTGGCGGAGGAGCGAGGGAGAAACCACTGCACGTACCATTATAGGAAGGCTTGGCGCCCGTGGGGTGTCGGCGGGACGACCATGTCCTGTGCCGTGCTACACTGCCATAGTAAACGTCCTCCGTGACGGGTGAGAGGTTCCCATCACTGTTACTCTCTGTGGTTATCTCTATAGGAAACACCAATCAGATGGTGGTGGTTAAAGCGCGCAGGTAACTCATTGGTTAGTTCGTTCTGAGGTCTCTTCCCATCATAACCTTGATAATCCTAACATATCGCTGCCCAAAACAGAGACATCAAAAGCAGTTTTATAATTGGAATATTCATTGAAATTTGACATATGTGTCTGTGTCCATTGTCACCCTATCAGCCAGGGAACTTTCTAGTAGCTGATAATACTGCATGTACATTGATTGATCTCTATAAGTAAGCTGTCAGTACTGTGAATGCATGAGCATGGTTCAAAGACACAGAGGTGATCTGTAGAAACAGAGGAGCTCATGGAGGATTAAAACAGGAAGCAGAATATCTACTAGGGCACAGAGAACATCAAAGCACAAAAACACTACAATTCCCAGAGTCACTACAATGACCCTACTAACCAATAGAGGGCACCATGAGAGGGCGTCTCTGGGGCTGTGGACCGTCTCGGGGCATTCTTCTCCCCGTCTCCCGATCCAGCCGACCCCCTGAAAGGGTGTTCCCAATCTTAAAAAGATCACACAAAAACGGTCTTAATATTCCCACAACTAGCAAAAATTACTTCCATCATTGCTCCAAATAAATGAGAATGTGAAGGCCAATCAATCAAACAAGATAGAGTAAAGGATCCTACTGTAGACACATGGCTCGACACAGGGGCCATATCATCCAACAGTGATAAAGGGGTTCGCATGCTTCCTTGTTTCCATTGAACGAGTGGTAATCAGAACCAAACTCAATTTTAACATTTCAATGTTGAGCTTTGGTATTCCTACCTTGAGTGCATTGTGGGAGTTGCGTCGTCGTCCCTCCTCCAGCTGCATCTCAGAATAGAGCTCCTCCTCATCCTCCTCCATGATGTCAGAAAGGTCAGAGCCCCGGCTGCTATCACTATGGTACTCCTCACTGTGGCTGTAGTGGGCCTGACACACACACACACACACACACACACACACACACACACACACACACACACACACACACACACACACACACACACACACACACACACATACACACATACATACATACATACATACAAAAGGTGTGAAATCATATCAGGATATTCCTGCACCTGCACAAAACTATGGGATGCGAGTATGTTCGATCCTTTTTATTCAGTGTCTTACCGGCCTGCCCAGCTCGGACCCTCTGAGGAACTCATCCACTGAGGCCCCTTGTCTCATGCGGCCGCAACCATACCCTTCCTCATCCTCCTCCTCCTCATCTGAGTTCTGTTGGTGGAAGGCCTGACCCTGCTCGTTGTAGACGACTCTCCTCTCCATCTAACCCAACCCATAGGGAGATATGTGTAATTTAATTCAACAGAAAAATTATCAGACTAGAGCTTTAACCAAGGTATCATTGATTGACTTTATGTATGAATGACTCACTCTGCCACTCTCTGCAGCCACCCTCTGTGCTGCCTTGCGGGCGATGGCTTTGGCCATTTGGTCTGGGATGGGGGTGCCCCTGGGCTGGGGCAGGATCCTCTGGGGGGAGGGCGAGCGCCGGTTAGCAGAGGGGGGCGCCTCCAGGGTGTGCCCGTGCATGGGGGCAGGAGGAGCCTGGGCGGAGGGGGATCGGGCAGGGTCCCAGGGCTGGCTGGGGACGCCCCCATGGTGGGCCACCTGCTCTTTGGCTTCCAGGTCTCTGGCACTAACTGGTCTCTGGTGGAGCTGGGGGGGTGTGTGGGGCAGCAGGGGTAGGCGGTGCTGGGGCTGGGGCTGGGGCATTGGGTGGGGTTGGTGAGACTGGAGGTGCAGGGGCTGTGGAGGACCACCAGGGTGAGGGGGGTGAGGCTGTAGGTGAGCCTGAGGCTGGGAGACAGGATGAGGTTGCAGGGGTTGGAGGTGTGGCTGAGGGTGAGGAGGGTGGTTAGGGAGGGGTTGTCCGTGAGGCAGGGGTGAGAGAGGCTGGGGGTGAGGCATGGGTAGTTGGGGGTGGGGGAGTTGAGGTGACTGGAGGTGGGGTGGGGGGGCAAGGGGGTGAGGTGGAGGGGGCCCTGCGTGTAGGTGCGGAGGGGGCAGGGGGGTAGGGTGAGGAAGAGGAAGAGGCACCAGTAGATTGTTTGGAATGGGGGCGACGTGGGAGTCCTGGGACTCTCCCTGTGCTGACAATGTCCTGACGATGACCTCCCTGGCCTCCAGACACTGGATCCTGTTCAGCTCCACTGTCACATAGTCAGCCAGGGGGTACAACACCTCCGCTATCTGACAGGAAGCACAGCACACATAACTCGGGTTGGATACAGTTGACATTGAATTAATTGTTGTATTCCTTTCAACTGCTTTTCACCTGTATTGCTCTTAAATTCAGAGCAACGTCCACTAGTATAGACACAGTTTACCTAACACAGACCCTACAAAGGGAGGTTGTCAATAATTATTTTCACCAGCAGAGGGAGTGAGATTGCTTTCTAGTGTTTTCACAGGCCCTTGTATACTGAACAAAAATATAAACGCAACATGCAACAATTTCATAGATTTTACTGAGTTACAGTTCATATAAGGAAATCAGTCAATTAAAATAAATTCATTATGTCCTAATATATTGATTTCACATGACTGGGAAGGGGTGCAGCCATGGGTGGTCCTCTGTAGCTCAATTGGTAGAGCATGGCGCTTGTAACGCCAGGGTAGTGGGTTCGATCCCCGGGTCCACCCATACGTAAAAATGTATGCACACATGACTGTAAGTCGCTTTGGATAAAAGCGTCTGATAAATGGCATATTATTATTATTATTATTATTATTATTATTATTATTATTATTATTATGGGTGGGCCTTGGAGGGCATAGGCCAGGCCCACTGGGGAGCCAGGCCCAGCCAATCAGAATGAGTATTTCCCCACAAAATAACTACACGTGGTCTGTGCTTCTAGATATGCCACACCTGTCAGGTGGATGGATTATCGTGACAACGGAGAAATGCTCACTAACAGGGATGTAAACAAATGAGTGCACAGAATTGGAGAGAAATAAGCTTTTTGTGAGTATGGAACATTTCTGGGATCTTTTATTTCACCTCATGAAACATGGGACCAACACTTTACATGTTGCGTTTATATTTTGGTTCAGTATATTTTGTGTTGTATTATGTATTGTATTATGTAGTGTTACTTATTTTATGTATTTTATTTGTTCTGTTTTGTTTCCTGTTTGGACCTCAGGAAGAGTAGCCGCTGCCTTGGCAACAGTTAATTGGGGATCCTAATAAAATACTAAATACAAAAATTGGTAAGCAACTCCAGTGTATATTTGACCTTGAGTTTTAGGTTATTGCCCTGCTGAAAGGTGAATTTGTCTCCCAGTGTCTGGCGGAAAGCAGACTGAACCAGGTTTTCCTCTAGAATTTTGGTTGTGCTTAGCTCTATTCAGTTTATTTTTACCCTAAAAAAACTCCCTAATCCTTGCCGATGACGAGCATATCCATAACATGATGCAGCCACCACCATTCTTGAAAATATGAAGAGTGGTTCTCAGTGATGTGTTGTGTTGGATTTGCCTCAAACATAATGCTTTGTATTTAGGACAAAAAGTGAATTTCTCTGCCACATTTTTTGCAGTATTACTTTAGTGCCTTATTACAAACAGGATGCATGTTTTGGAATATTTTTAATTCGTTTAGGTTAGTATTGTGGAGTAACTACAATGTTATTGATCCATCCTCAGTTTTCTCCTATCACAGCCATTAAACTCTGTAACTGTTTTAAAATCACCATAGGTCTCATGGTGAAATCCCTGAGCGGTTTCCTTCCTCTCCGGCAACTGAGCTAGGAAGGACGCCTGTATATTTGTAGTGACTGGGTGTATTGCTACACCATCCAAAGCGTAATTATTAACTTCATCATGCTCAAAGGGATAACCAATCGGTGCCCTTCTTTGCGTGGCATTGGAAACCTCCCTGGTCTTTGTGGTTGAATCTGTGCTTGAAATTAACTACTCGACTGAGGGACCTTACAGATAATTGTATGTGTGGGGTACAGAGATGGGGTAGTCATTCAAAAATCATGTTAAACACTATTATTGCTCACAGAGTGAGTCCATGCAACTTACTATGTGACTTGTTAAGCACATCTTTACTCCTGAACTTATTTAGGCTTACCATAACAAAGGATTTGAATTCTTATTGACTCAAGACATTTCAGCTTTTCATTTTTAATTACATTTGTAAACATTTCTAAAAACATAATTCCGCTTTGACATTGTGGGGTATTGTGTGTAGATAAGTGGCACAACATCTCAATTTAATCAAATTCAGGCTACAACACAACAAAATGTGGAAAAAGTAAAGGGGTGTCAATACTTTCTGAAGGCACTGTGGAATACTAGCACTGACAGTAGGAGATGCCTAGGTGGCACTGCTGAGCACTGAAGCCAGCAGTGATGTAATGGCACAATTACACACATACATCATATACTCTGACACTGTGGTTCACTCACTCTCACATAGTGCATACTTTCTCCCTCACTTCTTTGTCACTTAGGGTATACCCTTACTCACCTGCTGTCCTTTGGCACACAGTTACTGACTCACTCTCTGTCCCTTAGTGCACACACTCACCCACTTTCTCACTCACCATCTGACCTTCAGTGCACACTCTCTCAACCACCCACTCTCTCACTCACCCTCTGTCCTTTAGTGCAGACTGCATATCCGATGACGCTGGCTCCATTGGAGGTTCCGGTGGGTGAGAGGACGGGGGGCTTCCAGCGCACTTGCAGGACCCCCGGGGCCTGGCCACACTGCACCTGCACCTCCTGAGGGGGTAATGGGGGGCCTGGAGGGGGGATGAAAAATTAGATACTGTCTACACAGGTTTAACACACACAAACAGGGAGGGAGTGGAGGTGATTGTAGCATTCATGGGACACCAAGTGCTGTTAACTTGCTTTCTGTTGTGAATTACATGATTGTGACATGTCTATGATACACAAAACAGTTCCCTTTCCCAATTTTGGTTGCATACACCAATTAAATTGGCATTACCTTATATTGTAAACTATCATGGTCAAAACATATAGATTCAATGGTTGTAAAGATGAGGAGAGGTCTGTCCGTAATAAAGAGATGCTCTGCTTTTGAAAATATTGGAAGTAGAAGGCTAAAAGGAACAGAGGGTGGCCCAAGGCCACCTGAAAGCATGAGTGTGTGTGTGTGTGTGTGTGTGTGTGTGTGTGTGTGTGTGTGTGTGTGTGTGTGTGTGTGTGTGTGTGTGTGTGTGTGTGTGTGTGTGTACATGTTTGTGTGTGTGTGCGTGTGTGCATTGGTCTGTGTGCCCGACCGTCTGTATAGTCTGTCTATGTGTGTCTGTCTATGTGTGTGTCTGTGTGTGTGTTGTGTGTGAGAGGTGTCAGTGTGAGTTGAATAAGTACAGCCTGTTCTCTCCTGGTTCACTGGGTACACCATGCAGGACGTCACAGTGATGTCACAGCTCAGGCAGAGGGAAATGCACACAGATACTGATGTGGTCATCTCAGTTAAGGATAGAGTGGGAGGGAGTTACTTCAGCAGCTTTAGGTTGTGTCCCAAATGGCAACTGATTCCCTATATAGTCTACTACTTTTGACCAGGGCTCTGGTTAAAACTAGTGGACTATATAGGGAATAGGGGGCTACAGTGAGGGAAAAAAGTATTTGATCCCCTGCTGGTTTTGTACGTTTGCCCACTGACAAAGACATGATCAGTCTATAATTTTAATGGTAGGTTTATTTGAACAGTGGAGACAGAATAACAACAACAAAATCCAGAAAAACACATGTCAAAAATGTTATAAATTGATTTGCATTTTAATGAGGGAAATAAGTATTTGACCCCTCTGCAAAACATGACTTAGTACTTGGTGGCAAAACCCTTGTTGGCAATCACAGAGGTCAGACGTTTCTTGTAGTTGGCCACCAGGTTTGCACACATCTCAGGAGGGATTTTGTCCCACTCCTCTTTGCAGATCTTCTCCAAGTCATTAAGGTTTCGAGGCTGACGTTTGGCAACTCGAACCTTCAGCTCCCTCCACAGATTTTCTATGGGATTAAGGTCTGGAGACTGGCTAGGCAACTCCAGGACCTTAATGTGCTTCTTCTTGAGCCACTCCTTTGTTGCGTTGGCCGTGTTTTTTGGGTCATTGTCATGCTGGAATACCCATCCACGACCCATTTTCAATGCCCTGGCTGAGGGAAGGAGGTTCTCACCCAAGATTTGATGGTACATGGCCCCGTCCATCGTCCCTTTGATGCGGTGAAGTTGTCCTGTCCCCTTAGCAGAAAAACACCCACAAAGCATAATGTTTCCACCTCCATGTTTGACGGTGGGGATGTCACCTCGCTCCTCCGCACACTCCACTGGCTTCCAGTTGAAGCTCGCATCTACTACAAGACCATGGTGCTTGCCTACGGAGCTGTGAGGGGAACGGCACCTCCTTACCTTCAGGCTCTGATCAGACCCTACACCCAAATGAGGGCACTACGTTCATCCACCTCTGGCCTGCTAGCTCCCCTACCTCTACGAAAGCACAGTTCCCGCTCAGCCCAGTCAAAGCTATTCGCTGCTCTGGCACCCCAATGGTGGAACAAGCTCCCCCACGACGCCAGGACAGCGGAGTCACTGACCACCTTCCGGAGACACTTGAAACCCTACCTCTTTAAGGAATACCTGGAATAGTATAAAGTAATCCTTCTACACCCCCCCACCCCCCATTAAAAAAAAGAAAAAGTGGTTGTCCCACTGGCTATCATAAGGATAAGAGCGTCTGCTAAATGATGTAAATGTGTTCTTGGGGTCATAGGCAGCATTCCTCCTCCTCCAAACACGGCGAGTTGAGTTGATGCCAAAGAGCTCAATTTTGGTCTCATCTGACCACAACACTTTCACCCAGTTCTCCTCTGAATCATTCAGATGTTCAGTGGCAAACTTCAGACGGGCCTGTATATGTGCTTTCTTGAGCAGGGGGACCTTGCGGGCGCTGCAGGATTTCAGTCCTTCACAGCGTAGTGTGTTACCAATTGCTTTTCTTGGTGACTATGGTCCCAGCTGCCTTGAGATCATTGACAAGATCCTCCTGTGTAGTTCTGGGCTGATTCCTCACCGTTCTCATGATCATTGCAACTCCACGAGGTGAGATCTTGCATGGAGCCCCAGGTTGAGGGAGATTGACAGGTCTTTTGTGTTTCTTCCATTTGCGAATAATCACACCAACTGTTGTCACCTTCTCACCAAGCTGCTTGGCGATGGTCTTGTAGCCCATTCCAGCCTTGTGTAGGTCTACAATCTTGTCCCTGACATCCTTGGAGAGCTCTTTGGTCTTGGCCATGGTGGAGAGTTTGGAATCTGATTGATTGATTGCTTCTGTGGACAGGTGTCTTTTATACAGGTAACAAACTGAGATTAGGAGCACTCCCTTTAAGAGTGTGCTCCTAATCTCAGCTCGTTACCTGTATAAAAGACACCTGGGAGTCAGAAATCTTTCTGATGGAGAGTGGGTCAAATACTTATTTCCCTCATTAAAATGCAAATCAATTTATAACATTTTTGACATACGTTTTTCTGGATTTTTTTGTTGTTATTCTGTCTCTCACTGTTCCAATAAACCTACCATTAAAATTATAGACTGATCATTTCTTTGTCAGTGGGCAAACGTACACAATCAGCAGGGGATCAAATACTTTTTTCCCTCACTGTACAGTGGGGAAAAAAAGTATTTAGTCAGCCACCAATTGTGCAAGTTCTCCCACTTAAAAAGATGAGAGAGGCCTGTAATTTTCATCATAGGTACACGTCAACTATGACAGACAAAATGAGAAAAAAAAATCCAGAAAATCACATTGTAGGATTTTTAATGAATTTATTTGCAAATTATGGTGGAAAATAAGTATTTGGTCAATAACAAAAGTTTCTCAATACTTTGTTATATACCCTTTGTTGGCAATGACACAGGTCAAATGTTTTCTGTAAGTCTTCACAAGGTTTTCACACACTGTTGCTGGTATTTTGGCCCATTCCTCCATGCAGATCTCCTCTAGAGCAGTGATGTTTTGGGGCTGTCGCTGGGCAACACAGACTTTCAACTCCCTCCAAAGATTTTCTATGGGGTTGAGATCTGGAGACTGGCTAGGCCACTCCAGGACCTTGAAATGCTTCTTACGAAGCCACTCCTTCGTTGCCCGGGCAGTGTGTTTGGGATCATTGTCATGCTGAAAGACCCAGCCACGTTTCATCTTCAATGCCCTTGCTGATGGAAGGAGGTTTTCACTCAAAATCTCACGATACATGGCCCCATTCATTCTTTCCTTTACACGGATCAGTCGTCCTGGTCCCTTTGCAGAAAAACAGCCCCAAAGCATGATGTTTCCACCCCCATGCTTCACAGTAGGTATGGTGTTCTTTGGATGCAACTCAGCATTCTTTGTCCTCCAAACACGACGAGTTGAGTTTTTACCAAAAAGTTATATTTTGGTTTCATCTGACCATATGACATTCTCCCAATCCTCTTCTGGATCATCCAAATGCACTCTAGCAAACTTCAGACGGGCCTGGACATGTACTGGCTTAAGCAGGGGGACACGTCTTGCACTGCAGGATTTGAGTCCCTGGCGGCATAGTGTGTTACTGATGGTAGGCTTTGTTACTTTGGTCCCAGCTCTCTGCAGGTCATTCACTAGGTCCCCCCGTGTTGTTCTGGGATTTTTGCTCACCGTTCTTGTGATCATTTTGACCCCACAGGGTGAGATCTTGCGTGGAGCCCCAGATCGAGGGAGATTATCAGTGGTCTTGTATGTCTTCCATTTCCTAATAATTGCTCCCACAGTTGATTTCTTCAAACCAAGCTGCTTACCTATTGCAGATTCAGTCTTCCCAGCCTGGTGCAGGTCTACAATTTAGTTTCTGGTGTCCTTTGACAGCTCTTTGGTCTTGGCCATAGTGGAGTTTGGAGTGTGACTGTTTGAGGTTGTGGACAGGTGTATTTTATACTGATAACAAGTTCAAACAGGTGCCATTAATACAGGTAACGAGTGGAGGACAGAGGAGCCTCTTAAAGAAGAAGTTACAGGTCTGTGAGAGCCAGAAATCTTGCTTGTTTGTAGGTGACCAAATACTTATTTTCCACCATAATTTGCAAATAAATTCATAAAAAATCCTACAATGTGATTTTCTGGATTTTTTTTCATCAATTTGTCTGTCATAGTTGACGTGTACCTATGATGAAAATTACAGGCCTCTCTCATTTTTTTAAGTGGGAGAACTTGCACAATTGGTGGCTGACTAAATACTTTTTTTCCCCACTGTATATGGGATGTACTCTTAATTTATCATGTATATTAGCATTGAGCCAATGGCGGGGAAAAGCTGAGGAAGTTACTCATAATAGTGTCTTAGGTTTTAAAGTGCTGTTAGCTTCTTTTCATTCAACGTGTCAGTTGCCCATGCCAATCAAAAGCTACTTCCTACTTTTCCCATAACCAAACTGGTCTTCATTCTGACCTGATCTGGAATATGGTCCAGGACCTGGACAAAGCATAACAGACATACATAGCACGGGTAAAGACATGAGTTACAGTGGCTTACCAAAGTATTCACCCCCCTTGGCATTTTTCCTATTTTGTTGCCTTACAACCTGGAATTAAAATGGATTTTTGGGGGGTTTGTATCATTTGATTTACACAACATGCCTACCACTTTGAAGATGCAAAATATTTTTTATTGTGAAACAAACAAGAAATAAGACAAAAAAGCAAGCAAACTATTCACCCCCCCCCAAAGTCAATACTTTGTAGAGCCACCTTTTGCAGCAATTACAGCTGCAAGTCTCTTGGGGTTATGTCTCTATAAGCTTGGCACATCTAGCCACTGGGATTTCTGCCCATTCTTCAAGGCAAAACTGATCCAGCTCCTTCAAGTTGGATGGGTTCCGCTGGTGTACAGCAATCTTTCAGACATACCACAGATTCTCAATTGGACTGAGGTCTGGGCTTTGACTAGGCCATTCCAAGACATTTAAATGTTCCCCTTAAACCACTCAAGTGTTGCTTTAGCAGTATGCTTAGGGTCATTGTCCTGCTGGAAGGTGAACCTCCGTCCCAGTCTCAAATCTCTGGAAGACTGAAACAGGTTTCCCTCAAGAATTTCCCTGCATTTAGCGCCATCCATCATTCCTTCAATTCTGACCAGTTTCCCAGTCCCTGCCGATGAAAAACATCCCCACAGCATGATGCTGCCACCATGCTTCACTGTGGGGATGGTGTTCTCCTTGATGGCCAAAAAGCTCAATTTGAGTCTGATCTGACCAGAGTACCTTCTTCCATATGTTTGGGGAGTCTCCCACATGCCTTTTGGCAAACGTGTTTGCTTATTTCTTTCTTGAAGCAATGGCTTTTTTCTGGCCACTCTTCCGTAAAGCCCAGCTCTGTGGAGTGTATGGCTTAAAGTGGTCCTATGGACAGATACTCCAATCTCCACTGTGGAGCTTTGCAGCTCCTTCAGGGTTATCTTTGGTCTCTTTGTTGCCTCTCTGATTAATGCCCTCCTTGCCTGGTCCATGAGTTTTGGTGGGCAGCTCTCTCTTGGCAGGTTTGTTGTGGTGCCATATTCTTTCCATTTTTTAATAATGGATTTAATGGTGCTCCATGGGATGTTCAAAGTTTCTGATATTTTCTTATTACCCAACCCTGATCTGTACTTCTCCACAACTTTGTCCATTACCTGTTTGGAGAGCTCCTTGGTCTTCATGGTGCCGCTTGCTTGGTGGTGCCCCTTGCTTAGTGGTGTTGCAGACTCTGAGGCCTTTCAGAACAGGTGTATATATACTGAGATCATGTGACACTTAGATTGCACACAGATGGACTTTATTTAACTAATTATGTGACTTCTGAAGGTAATTGGTTGCACCAGATCTTATTTAGGGGCTTCATAGCTAAGTGGGTGAATACATATGCACGCACCACTGTTCTGTTATTAATTTTTTTGAAATTTTTGAAACAAGTAATTTTTTTGATTTCACTTCACCAATTCTGACTATTTTGTGTATGTCCATTACATGAATTCCAAATAAAAATCAAGTTAAGTTACAGGTTGTAATGCAACAAAATAGGAAAAACTCCAAGGGGATGAATACTTTTGCAAGGCACTGTATCTTTCTATCTTAATGGTCTATATCTAACAAATAACCCAATGGACTTTTATCCAACCTTTCCATAACACATAATAGATGACAGAAAAACAATGTATTGGACAAAATAACATATAACATATGTTGAACAAAAGAACCAGTTAGACTTAAGAAAAGAGCAAACCAAGCCTCACCAGCAGCTTGTGTGCAGAACTCGACAGCAGTCTCCTTCTTCTCCCTCTGCTCCATGAGCAGTTGCCATGGCACCTGGTGTGGCCGGGCCACCACCCTCACCTTGTACACTGTCATGGCCTTGAGGTTGACGAAGCGCAGCCTGTAACTCCCTGGCCGCACCACCGCATGCTCCACCCCGTCCAGGAACACCGTGTGCCCATAGTTACTGTTGCTGGGCAACCAGGAAAGCTCGGCCGAGTCGCGCAGGATGTCGTCCACACGCAGGCCGTATGGCGCCACCACCACGTTGGCTCCCACCATCAGGGTGCAGCGCAGCTCGTCCGACAGGCCCCTGTCTGTCACACTTTGCACAGATACGCGGTGCGTATAGGTGTCCAGATCCAGCTTCTCCAACAAAGACTTGGTCCTGCCCCCGTAGGGCACGCTGGCACGCACCTCGCCATCCACCAGCACGTTGTAGCAGCTGATGTTTCCCCAGCCCAGGGGCAACATGGGGGGCTCCCAGGCCACAATGACGCTACGGGCCAACTGCTTGATTAGGGTGATCCTCCTGGGGTAAGGCACAATGTCATCAGCCAGATCCTCAGGGTCCAGGGGCCCTGTGCCATTGCTGCAGGGGCCCAGGGGGTTGGTGGAGCCCAGTAGCCCATCCTGAGGGGCCCCTCCATCCACCCCCATCAGGCCCAGGGTGGTATGGTCCAGAGAGCCCAGGTCCTCCCCTGCGTCCCCTGGCTGGATGGATGGTTTCTCCTTGTCTTGGACAAACTCCACGAAGTTGGAGGGGACCAGACCTCGCTGGCCATCTAGCAGCTCCCCTGGAGCACATATTGACAGAGACAGACAGAGATGCTTACTTTATTATCAACAAAATACAAACTCACAACCATGTCAACTCATGTCTTCTGCAAATTCCTCTATTAATCTCGTCCCAAAACATATATTCCAAATAATTCAATGAAAAAAGTACCTTTAGAATGTATAGAGGAATGTCTAATATATTTAAATGGAAATGAGGTATGTAAAGACGAGATCAAAAGAGTTAAGCAGAATATGGATATTTCAGTTGTCAGCAACATGTAATATCACTCAGGATTAGCTGGCTGTGAAGATTTAATTGAGTGATTATTCAGGCAGACACAGTGACACCTTCCAGGAACCCTGTTCTGTTCTGTTCTGACACACAGCAGCCTGATGGTAAAGACCAGTCACGCACTGCTGTCTCATGGGGAATCTATGGAACGCTCAAGCCTTTAATGATGCCTGCTGCAAATGTTACCATCAGCTAAAAATAGACCATCTCATTAGTGAAAAAAGAGAACGAAAAATAATGACGAAAGCCCTCGTGACTCAATGGAAGTGTGATCTGTGAGTGTGAGTACTACTGGTGTGGAAAGAGACCCTGTGGTGCCCGTCCCCCAAGGTTGGGACTTTTCTCTCGAATCAGAAGGAAGGATAAGGATATGATGTCATCAATTTCTCCAGGAAGTACAGGGGGTTAAAAAAACGATTCCTGCACAGTGGAGAGGATGCATCTGAAATGGCACCCAATTCACTATAGTGACCACCAACCTTTCTCATCAGCACTGTACTTGCTTTTCAAAGACAGCCTAACTGTCCTCTCCCTCTCCCTCTCTATCTCATCATTCCAGTCAGTACAGTAGAGAGGCTGGGAGGCCCTAGCTGGCTCTGGTCTGCAGGGGAATATGTCTGTGATTAATCAGAGCCCTGTTGCTGGATTAGGCGTCTAGCTACGGGGCTCAGGCTGCATCTTGACAACAGCTTGGTCTGAGCCTCAGTATCCCTGTGGTAAATACAAACCTCATCCACCTCTAAGCAGCCAGGCAGGCAGGCAGGAGCTAGGCTAATGCTAGGCAATCTCACCCACCACCACCACCACCCATGGCTGCTAGTGATGACTCACCAGAGCTGCTGAAGCAGGCTGAAATCTGGGCCAGGGATGCTAAGAGGATTAACGTAGCCATGGATGGAAAAGCCTTCATAATGCTAATGAGATTGCATATTTTGCTACTGATGCTAGTGGTGAAGTGTGTGTGTGTAGTAACCCTGGATTCACTCTCACCTTCGTAGAAGCCATCGTCATCCATCGTGCCGTACACATACAGGTACTTCCCAGCCACCAGGGGGAGCTCTGCCTCTGGGTGCTCATTAGGTCCATCGTAAGGGTTGTAACTACACAACAAGAGAGAGGACGGTTCAACATAGATGTGCTCCTGACTACAATATATACTACAATATATTTTTGGAGAAAATAGGGCTTCTGATGTGCATGTGGAGGTACTAAGTGATCTAGCACTGGTCCAGAGCGTTATGTGCTGATTGCTGGCGCTCCTCATTGTCAGCAAGCCGCACGCAACACCCTGGACCAGAGCTATGCGTGATTCAGCTTTCCCAGGTGTTGTGTGACAGACTGAACAGTCCCACTGGTCTCACCTGTAGCGGGCAGTGCATAGACGGACTGTGCCAGTATAGCGAGGCTTGGACCTGGGCGCACGGCGGATCTCATCCTCCATCTTGGGAAACACAGGGACAGGGCAGCAATCACAGAGTTGCATCTAAATACCATAACTCTGATCCGTTGAGGTGAAACCAATTCAAACACAATGGCTTTGCTCATGATCATAGCCACTCATAATCATGTCTCCAGAGGAATTACTGATCTGACAGAGAATAACTTCCCAGCACTCTTATACTGTCTAGTTCTACTGTCTGACAGTTGCCACAGGAGAGTCATGTTGCTTTCTGGTGCTAAACCAATTGGTTTTACAGCTATAGCTCAGCTGACGGCAATCAAGTGCTAGTATACAGCTGGTCCATGAACAGCCCATCTCTTGATAAGAGCAGAGATAAAGCACCCTCATGCTTTAGCATTGGGACTTTGTCTCTGTATGAGAAGAGAAGAGAGGGCGGGACCCACCTCTGAGGGGGTCGCCCGTCGCGGGATGCTGGGGCGGCTCGTTGTCACGGCGGTGGGATTGACAGACAGCAGCTCCGGCCTGTCTCTGTCTCCGATCTGCAGTGGGCGGAGGAACTTGGATATCAGCCGAGTGTTTGCCGAGCTCTCATCGCCTGGGAAACATCGATTTCCACACCAAATAAAGAGCATCTGTCATTCCTTCTGCTCTCATTCATGGCACAGCTATTGATTTCCTGTTCAGGGGAGTACACAGCAAACACTCTTTATGGCCAGGACCTGGCTCTGCTCTCTGCCTGACACATCTGCAAGGCATTTCCCTGACGCTTAACACGCTCTCTACTCTCTAAAGACACAACTGACACGGAACAGGACACCGCCATCACAGAGTTCTACCAGCCACACCCCTACACAAAGCCAAGCCTAGGTAATTTCCCATCTTAGACAAAAAGATACAATTCTAATTCTTGGTGGTTGAATTTGGTTCATCATGCTACCAGATTACAACCGTACAGTAGCATTCTCACTGCAGTAAAGCAAGAGAAGAGGATATCTAGAGCAGTATCTCAGAGGCTTCTAATCTACGGTATTTGCATCAATGATTCTGCTGTGTGTTCAACTGGCAGGTTACAGTATGTGGGGTTAGAATACTAATGTGTTGGCTCTCATTAGCAGATGTAATATACAGTATTAGCCCTCTGATCAATGAGCTCTGTTATTGATCATGAATAAAGCTATATTTCTTCCATTTCCAGTGATCCAGACTGGCCTTGAAGCCTGTTCTGTTGAGATGGACTGAAGAGAAAAGCGGGGCCTTACTGTGACTCACACCAGCCAGTTTAGTTGCCAACTTTCCCTCTCTATCTCCCACTCTCCCAACCTCACCCCACAGGGTTCTGGCAAAGGTCATTGTTGTGACAACTAGATTAAATTACTGTCTCGTTCCATTATGAATTAATTAATTACACAGGCATAATGACTGACTGAGAGCCTCGTCGTCTGGAGCACAAACATGGGTCTGCACATAGACTTTCAGAACTGTCTTTTGGTCTTGATTGATGAGATACACTGTTTGAATCAAATGCCAGGCATGATGTATGTACTTTTATTCTCTAGTGCTAGGCACTTTTCTGCTTCATATCTATGTCTTCTGACACCATAATTTTCTCACAGAGGGCAGGATTGGGAGTTGGAAGCTCTCACCTTTCCCTGCCTGGGCTGCCAGTCCGTTGAGGATTTGGGAGAGTTTATTTTCCGGGTGAAGGGGAACGTTGTGTTTGTAGAAAGGCTCAGTGCTGAGGATGTCTACAGTATCCGCCTCCAGACGGAAATCTTCCAGGTCCTTGGACAGCTGGCCGAACTGTTCAGTCTGTGACCTGCATTTCTGCTCCAGGTCGTGAACCTTGACCTTCCGTAGACAGGGATGTGTGGAGGAGAGAGAGATAGACACAAACGGTCACTGGAAGGAGGGTTTCTGTGTTCCTATGTAGCAAATCTTTAGAACGGGATACAGTATATTGCAAAGCAATGCATGTTTTATGTTAATAACATGTTAGTAATATACCACTACATGGATATGAGTTAAACTAATCAATGGCTTAAATCCTTTACTGTTGCTGCAGATCGCAAGCCGAACCAATTACAGCACAGGATCTCAAAAGAGCCATTTCTAGCTTAGAACAGCTCATTCATATCAAAAACACTGCCTGCCAAGTAATCAAATGATCTGGAAGAAGAGGCTGTGCAACACTGCCACACTTTGATAACAAAAGACAAGCAGTGCAATGAGTTAAGAGGCTTATAAAAGTATGTACATTAAAGACATTATCTAAGCAGCTCTGAGATGCCGATTAGAGCCTTGAGTTAACAACCGTTGGGTTTTCTCTGAAAGCTACAAGGCTGAAACACCATGGCCTGCTGGGTAAGAGATAAGACAAGCCAGGGTCTTAGCCACGAGGAAAGTTGGTTTCACCCAGCGATAAAACTAAAGTCAGAGTCAGAACACTCGGCTGCAAGATGGGCTGAGATACAGTAACTGAGGATGAACGAACAGCCACTACTTTGGTCTGCTTGGTTTTAAAAGGAAACAAGGAAATCAAATGTGCTTGGATGTTATAGGACATCTGGTATTCGTCTAAAATGGCACCCTATTCCCTATATAGTGCACTACTATACAGTGCACTAATTTTGACCAGAGCCGTATGGGCCCTGGTCATAAGTAGTGCGCTATATAGGACAGGGGTATTTAACTCTGACCCTACGAGGTCCGGAGCCTGCTGGTTTTAGGTTCTACCTGATCATTAATTGCACCCACCTGGTGTCCCAGGTCTAAATCAGTACCTGATTAGAGGGGAACAATTAAAAAACGCAGTGGAACTGGCTTCGAGGTCCAGAGTTGAGTTTGAGGGATATAGGGAATAGGATGCTATTTAGGACACAACCTTGGACTGGAGTACAGAGGATCTAAGGCAAAAGAGGATCTATAGTGTGATGCAGTACCGGCACTGGGCTCTGTTCATCTGATAATTCAATTGAATTCAATATTAGTACGTATGATTGCCTAATTACCATACCTTATATAACATATGCACTAATGTGAATTAGAGCCTAAGTGTTTCACTAAGACTATTTAAAGGTTATAGGATGGATGTGACCATGGAGATGAAGAACACTGGGGATCTAGATGTTTCAGGGTAGGAAACATAAATACCTGCATTCTGTCCAAATGGTTCTGTTCAGACACAAAAGAAACACATAGAAACACACAATGGCATTGAACAAAGATGAAAGAAAACAAACACCCAAATCAAACTGTTACACCGTATGAGATCAATGCATACGTAACACAGTAATCCATGCAAAATCATGTCAATAAATGAGAAAAGAGAACCATTACAAAATAAGTAAGTACAAGTCCCCCATGGGGAATATCATGTAACTTAGAATAAATATTCTAAAAGAAAACACCCAAAATCATAACCAAGACAGTGTTGAAAACCAGAAATTATGGAAACGAACATTACTCATGTCCCTAGATAATCTTAGTGTCATCTCCTCTCTTGGTTAACTAGTTTTAACGTAGTAACTGCAGGGGCGGTGTGTTCAATAGGGCGATATGGGCGACGCACTGCCAAACGGGAAAAGGAAGGGATTTTTTTTCTAATCAATTATATCACGGCAACAGTAGTTATCAGTGTTCTAATCTGATCTGACTGCCACTAAATGTCCAATCAGGCTAAAGTCGTGCTTCAAATGGCCCCCCCCCCTTTTGGGGCGATTTCAGTCAGGTTGAAAATCGCCCAGAAGTCTGTCATAGACTCCCATGTAAAATCTATTTTTTTCAAATTTCAGAGCTTTCAATACAATCTCTATGGGTTTCTGAGGGCTTGCACTTACGCGCTTTCGTCATACGTAACGTAACCATGAACGTAACTAAGAAAATAGCAGGTAGCAGCGTCTCTGTTGCGACCTGCAGTGTGGCGTTATCTTATGTTTTTAATTTGTACACTTAGTGGCGTTATTTTATGTTTTTAATTTGTACACTTAGTTTACAAACATTCTGCCAACCATGGATTTCCAGTGGTGGGTTTTGGACTGATCTTGTTGATCGTGTACATACCCGCTACGAACGGACTAAATAATGAAAACGCTGCTGGCAGCGGAATCTAATACAGCAGAACAAACTTCCCTTACCCACCACCTTGCTGATTAATGCCCAGTCACTGAGGGGGAAAGCGGATGAGTTGTCAGCGAATCTGCGCTTCCAACACGAATATCGGGAGGCCTGTTTGCTGGCATTTACTGAGACTTGGCTGGATGACAGAGTCCCGGACAGAGAAGTGGAGCCGGCCGGCTTCACCCTGGTCAGAGCGGACCGCGATCTGACAGTCACAGGGAAAATCGATCCTGGTAAGAGAGCGACTCTGTACCCCCGACATTGAACTGCTTTCTGTGTCACTGCGACCTTACTATCTGCCCCGTGAGTTCCCCCAATTGTTTGTTACCGTTGTGTACATTCAACCAAAAGCTAATATAACAAAGGCATCAGAGATTATTTATAATCTGTCACAGAAACTGGAATCCATCTCCCCAGATCAGTCAATAAATGCTTCTGGTATTGACTTATATGCTGCCCCTGTCTTCATGTTGTTGCTGGACATATCTTTTTTAAAATGTGTGTAGGTCACCTAAATCATCAGAAAAATTGCCCCCCCTGAGAATTTTTTCAGGAGCCGCCACTGAGTAACTGAGCATGCTATTGGAGTTCTCTGTGAACAGTGCCAGTCCTCCTAATGCATCTCCTCTACACTGTAGATATTTCATCATCTGGATGGTTGCTCTCTGAATTTTTCTGTAAAATAGGTTTCTCCAGAGCCATTAGTGCCATGGCTGGGATGAGAGCTTTTGAGCTGAGCCTGAGCCACGGCAGTGTTGAGCGGTCTCACTGAGTCGTAATGGAGAGAGTTATGGGCAGGTTTTGCTGACCCAGCTCTCTGTAAAAGTGTTCTATACTCATTAGAGCTAAAATCCCCACTCAACGAAAGCCTCAAAAAACGCAAGATGCAACAATTTCAACGTTTTTACTGAGTTACAGTTCATATAAGGAAATCAGTCAATTCATTAGGCCCTAATCTATGGCTTTCACATGACTGGGCAGGGGTGCGGCCATGGGTGGGCCTGGGAGGGCATAGGCCCACCCACTTGGCAGCCATGCCCACCCACTAGGGAGCCAGGCCCAGACAATCAGAATTAGTTTTTTCCCCACAAAAGGGCTTTATTACAGACAGAAATACTCCTCAGCACCCCCTCCCCACCCCCCCCTCAGACGATCCCACAGGTGAAGAAGCCGGATGTGGAGGTCCTGGGCTGGCGTGGTTATACGTGGTCTGCGGTTGTGAGGCCGGTTGGACGTACTACCAAATTCTCTAAAACAACGTTGGAAGCAGCTTATGGTAGAGAAATGAACGTTCAATGGCAACAGCTCTGGTGGACATTCTTGCAGTCTGAATGCCAATTGCACGCTCCCTCAAAACTTAAGACATCTGTGGCATTGTGTTGTGTGACAAAACTGCACATTTTAAAGTGGCCTTTTATTGTCCCCAGCACAAGGTGCACCTGTGTAACGATCATGCTGTTTAATCAGCTTTATTGATATGCCTCACCTGTCAGGTGGATGGATTATCTTGGCAACGGAGAAATGCTCACAAACAGGGATGTAAACAAATTTGTGCACAACATTTTTTCAGCTCATGAAACATGGGACCAACACTTTACATGTTGCGTTTATATTTTTGTTCAGTGTAAATACAGTATAGAGTATGACCTGGAATGAACCAGGCTTACCTCAAAACTCTAGCTTTTCATTGAAGGCAATATGGATTTGGTGGAATTTAAACAATACAATGGAGGTGTTTTTCATATGTATCAGTGTCTTGCATACACAAACAAAACCACATATCAGTCAAGTGACAGCCATTTTGAAAACAGCCACCGAAGCCATCCTCATTTGCCCATCGGACCTCCATGTCTACTTACCTCTAACAGGTGGACCGCTCCCTCATGCTCTTTCTCAGCTTCAACCTGAGCCTGGAGAACACACAGAAACACAGTCATATAGGACCTGCAGGTGACACAGTGAGCACTGCACATTATCTCTCCGTCAGTGCTACATCAAACATACAAATGGCATAGCTTTTGGTACACTGCAGACATACAGGTAACTGCCAAAATAATGGAAACACTTGAGTAAATTGTATACATTTAAGTATATTGAAAGCAGGTGCTTCCACACAGGTGTGGTTCCTGAGTTAATTAAGCAATTAACATGCCATCATGCTTAGGGTCATGTATAAGAATGCTGGGCAGGTCATTGCATTATTCTGGTCATTATTTTGGCTACCATGGCTATGACCCCATAGGATGACAATTCCCCCATCCACAGGGCACGAGTGGTCACTGAATGGTTTGATGAGCATGAATACAATGTAAACCATATGCTATGGCCATCTCAGTCACCAGATCGCAACCCAATTGAACACTTATGGGAGATTCTGTAGCGGAGTCCGAGACAGCGTTTTCCACCACCATCAACAAAACACCAAATTATGCAATTTCTCGTGGAAGAATGGTGTTGCATCCCTCCAATAGAGTTCCAGACACTTGTAGAATCTATGCCAAGGTGCATTGAAACTGTTCTGGCTTGTGGTGGCCCAATGTCATATTAAGACACTTTATGTTGGTGTTTCCATTATTTTGGTAGTTACCTGTAGAAGAGACAGTCTGAGTTGAACAACAACTTAAGATAAACTGTCAGTGCTAGAACAGACACATGCAGAACCCTCAGTGGTGTCAGCTCTGCCCAGCATGAGGAGGAGAAAGCAGTTAATGCCTCACAGCTGTGGGCTATCTGAGGACAGGGAGAGACAGGGCGAGAACTGAGGGGGCGCTATGAGTTCAACAGAATAACCTGATGAAATCAATCTGTTTCATCCAGATTGGCTTTGATATCGATAAGGACAAACTGCTGTTCTACTCCAGTGAGATAATATCTGTGCAATTGCTAATTGAATGGAATCACAGCACATTAAATTAGGTTAAGGACAAAACAGACAAGAAAGGACAAGAACTCAAACGAGCACGCTGAGGCAGATGCATACAAACACATGGATTGGAACACAGATAGTCACGGATAGATGTGCACACACACACACACACACACACACAAGCTGACACACATTCTCTCTGCGTCTCCCTATAGTGAAGTGCTCGGTTTAGGCTCAGGGGAGTCTGATCTGTGCTGTGTTTGCCATCTGCGCTAATTGCCTGTCATGGCTCCTCTCTGAACAGAACACATACACACAGGAATTCACACAGCTCTCTAAGGGCTCAGATTATTGCTGCCCATACAGACAGACAATCACAGGAGACTGCTGATTATATCACCCCTTTTACTTTCTCATCAGTCTCACCAGGACTAATGGTAGAATGTTATTTTTTTTCATGGAGCATGATTTACAGTGTTTGGGGGGATCATTTCATGATAGTTGTACAATACTTGTCTCTCATAATCAATACACACATACTTGAACACTGTTACCATGATACATTGTCTTGTGACCACTGTGGTCATACTGTGGTCATGGTGGTTGGAGTCTAGGGCAGAGGCAAGGTGGGGTGTTATGAGCTTACCCTCTGCAGAAGGTGAATCTCCTGCTGCTTGGTTGTGAGGACAGCCAGGGCCTGCTCATGCTCCTCTTCCAACTGCTGCCTCCTCTCTGCAGCCTCTCGCATATGCTGTGGAGACCAGGTCACAACACAGTCAATTCATGGTCATATGCTCGGGAGACCACAATCATATTACAACATGGTCAATACATGGTTATATACTGGGGAGACCAGGTCACAAAACAGTCAATTCATGGTCATAGTGCGGTAACTATGGCTTTAAAATCTCCAAATGGATCATAGAATGGTCACAACACAGTCCAAACACTTTTACAGCACCCGTAATACCAGCGGAACAATAAAAGTGCATAATACATAAAAAGGTCTCGTTTTCAATTCAGAGGGTATGAAGTTTGTCTACCTGTATTGACTACATATCTAGTCCGACTCACTGATACCTGTGATCCATCACACATAGACACCTATACAAAACCCAAATCTACCCACTCCCAAATTAGCCGAGTCATTATCTGTATCTGCAGAGTTAAGAGCAGCTGCCACCGGTAGGAGTTGGAGTTAGGGACATAAGATGTTTCTTGGAGTTAATACGCTGATAAACTCTGACATTCATATTTTTCTCTCTGGGAGAAGAAAAGCCTCTCCCCCCCCCAGAACAGTGGCGTCATTTGTTCCAGCCCCAAACCTTTTGATGGTCAAAAAAGGTTTCAGTCTGATGAGTTTCCATAACCACACATTACTTGCGCTATGCAGTATTTTTAAAAATACAAACACGCTGATTGAAACACAGACAGTCACAGATAGACGTGCGCAGAATGAAGGCTATTCCATGCGAGAAATTGCCAAGAAACTGAAGATCTCTGACTATTTGATGAAGCTGTCAGTTGAGGACCTGTGAGGCATCTGTTTCTCAAACTAGACACTCTAATGTATTTGTCCTCTTGCTCAGTTGTGCACCGGGGCCTCCCACTCCTCTTTCTATTCTGGTTAGAGCCAGTTTGCGCTGTTCTGTGAAGGGAGTAGTACACAGCATTGTACGTGATCTTCAGTTTCTTGGCAATTTCTTGCATGGAATAGCCTTCATTTCTCGGAACAAGAATAGACTGACGAGTTTCAGAAGGAAGTTATTTGTTTCTGGCCATTTTGAGCCTGTAATCGAACCCACAATTGCTGATGCTCCAGATACTCAACTAGTCTCAAGAAGGCCAGTTTTATTGCTTCTTTAATAAGCACAACAGTTTTCAGCTGTGCTATCATAATTGCAAAAGGGTTTTCTAATGATCAATTAGCCTTTTAAAATGATAAACTTGGATTAGCAAACACAACATGCCATTGGAACACAGGACTGATGGTTGCCGATAATGGGCCTCTGTACGCCTATGTAGATATTCCATAAAAAATCAGCCGTTTCCAGCTACAATAGCCATTTACAACATTAACAAATGTCTACACTGTATTTCTGATCAATTTGATGTTATTTTAATGGACAAAAAAAATGCTTTTCTTTCAAAAACAAGGACATTTCTATGTGACCCCAAACTTTTGAATGGTAGTGTATGTGTTCCAGAGTAGAGAGTAGAGTGTGTTGCAGAGTAGTGAGACCCACAGTAGCAACTGTAATTGAGTACTGGCAGTGTCTGCTGTGGCAGGTGGGAGTTACCTGAAAAGGTTACCTGAATAATATCTAATCTCTCAATGTTCTAATCTCTCAATGTTCATCTCAAAGTGCACCAAATTCACGCATTTAGCTGCTGAAATTACACTTTGTTTTGTCGGGGGAGAATAACCCTAGACTCCCCTGCTGGCTTTGGGCTAAGCCACAAATGTCTTCAAATCCTAAAAACGCCCCTGCCCCAGAGATGCTCAGACGTGTCCTGAGCAGGCACTGCTTTGCATAATCATAGAGTCTTAAGCTCTGCTGGGGACTCAGGGAACTCCAGTGACTGAGGGACTGTCACCAGGTTCCAGGGCCGTGCATAGACCTTTGTGAGGGGCATGTGCTCAATGTGACCCCCCTCCCCGATTTTCAACATTTACTACTGGTCCTATAGTCAAATTCACCATTATGTTTTAGCATATACATAAATTCTGTGCAAAAGCTAGCGCCACTAGGCTACTGTTCACAGAGACATCAGCTGATTGCTAATGTACACTGAATTAAGTATGTGGACACCTGCTCGTTGACTATCTCATTCCAAAATTAAGGGCATTAATATGGAGTTGGTCCCCCCTTTGCTGCTATAACAGCCTCCACTCTTCTGGGAAGGCTTTCCACTAGATGTTGGAACATTGCTGCGGGGACTTGCTTCCATTCAGCCACAAGAGCATTAGTGAGGTCGGGCACTGATGTTGGGCGATTAGGCCTGGCTCGCAGTCGGCATTCCAATTCACCCCAAAGGTGTTACATTACATGTATATGAACAATGCAAGAGAGAAAATAGACAAAACATTTAATAAAAATAATTTGTCAAAAAATCGTCGACAATCAAAAGGCCACTTTTCTCATAGGAGGGCATGTGCCTGCTAGGTTCACTCTATCAGATGTGGTGGTGGTCACTCAAAAGCTCCAAAATATACCAGCTAACTGATTCTCATAATCGCCGTCATTGTTATCGTCATCGTCATTATCCCTGAAACATTTATTCTTTCTCCCTTTTCAGAGTCTTTCTCTGCTTTCGACATCCTAGTCTCTCTCCATAATGTTCTCCAACATGCAATCTCCCCATCTATTCAAATCAATAGGCAATGAAAAAGTAACACACACTTCTTTTATTTTTTAGGAGCAGGAGTCAATTTCCTCAGATGGTAAGTTTTTCCCTCAAATATATCCACTCCTTACAAACAGACAATCAATATGGAATGGAGGGAAGCAGTGATTTGTAATGAGAGCATATTTCACAACGCTATGAGACTACTGCTGATTGCTATTGGCAAATCAGTGTCTAATGAAAAAGTGTGTCCTGCAAAACAGATAACAAAGCTCATAACTTATACCAATTTCTTCCACGCTTTTATTGGCAAAAAGAAAATGTATTATATAACTCAAAGGACAGACTTTGCAGATAGATGCATTTGTCCAATCAGATTTTCAGAAAAGGTTCAAGTGATCTAGCCTTACGTTAACCTAAACCAATCAGATTCCAAAGGCCTTATAGAACCCTGCCGCTGATGTTTAGTCCATATCTCATGATTGGCTGACATAGCTTACTGTTGAGTTGGAGGAACAGTAGCAGTGAATTTAAGAGAGCTAGGATGGATGGATAGATGTTTGGATGGATGGACGGGCAGATGGATTCTCACCTTGAGGACTTGCTCGAGGTTCTCCAGTTTGCCTTGGAGTTGTTTCCTCTCCTGTTGAGCCAAGTCTCTCTCCCGACTCACAGTGCTGTAGGTGTGTCTGAGCTGCTCATATTCTGACCTTACCTAGAGAAAAATTAAATAAGGAAAGAGAGAAATAAAGTAAGGGAAGAGTGAGTCAGAGAGAAGAAAGATACAGCATATGCAAATGGAGTGAGGGAAGAAAATAAAGAAAAATTGTTCTTCTTCTTCCAAAAATGTATCCTTCTTTTTCATTTATATCCATGTATTTCGGAAGTAACAGAGGCATGCAAAATTGATGAAGTTTGTTCTTACACCATTACATAACGTAAAAAATCAGAGTTGTTGTTTGAGAGGCTGGGGAGTGGTGCTGTCCATGTTTGTGTCATTGAGTACGTTTACATGCAAACTAATCATTCGATATTAAACTGATTATGGCAGTAGGCCAAATATAGCAATAGTCACTTAAAAACTTTACTCTGCTTATCTTAAACAGCATAAGGTCAAAATCGAAGTAAGCATACAGCGATTAAAACACTAGGTTTTCTGAGCAATCTTTCGAATGATTAGGACATGTAAACAGCTTAATCTGCGTTCCAGCAGTGTGTTTGATCTGCGCATGTGCCAGCATCGGGTAGCGCAAGCCTCCCTCTTACGCGAGAGTGAAGTGAGTTCAGAAAAAGTGAAAGTAATGTATGGCATCTTAGAAATAGTTTTCACATACAAACATGATATATCCGAACTCAGAATTAAATAGGCTTCGCAAAAATAACATGGTCACTGTAGTAAAACGTTTCTTTTGATTGGCGATTTTCTGCATTTATTTATACTGAACAAAAATATAAAATGCAACATGCAACAATTTCAAAGATTTTACTGAGTTAAAGTTCATATAATGAAATCAGTCAACTGAAATAAAATAATTAGGCCCTAATCTATCAATTTCACATGACTGGGAATACAATTATATATCTGTTGGTCACAGATACCTTTTTTTAAAAGGTAGGGGCGTGGATCAGAAAACCAGTCAGTATTTGGTGTGACCAACATTTGCCTCATGCAGCACAACACATCTCCTTCGCATAGAGTTCATCAAGCTGTTGATTGTGGCCTGTGGAATGTTGTCCCACCTGAATATTTGTGGGAACTGGAACACGCTGTTGTACACGTCGATCCAGAGCATCCCAAACACGCTCAATGGGTGACATGTCTGGTTAGTATGCAGGCCATGGAAAAACAGGGACATTTTCAGCTACCAGGAATTGTGTACAGATCCTTGTGACATGGGGCCGTGCATTATTATGCTGAAACATGAGGTGATGGCGGCAAATGAATGGCACGACAATGGGCCTCAGGATCTCGTCACGGTATCTCTGTGCATTCAAATTGCCATCGATAAAATGCAATTGCGTTCATTGTCTGTAGCTTATGCCTGCCCATACCATAACCCCACCACCACAATGGGGCACTCTGTTCACAATGTTGACATCAACAAACCGCTCACCCACACAACGCCATACACGCTGTCTGCCATCTGCTCGATACAGTTGAAACCGGGATTAATCCGTGAAGAGCACACTTCTCTAGCGTGCCAGTGACCATCGAAGGTGAACATTCGCCCACTGAAGTCGGTTACGACGGCGAACTGCAGTCAGGTCAAGACACTGGTGAAGACAACGAGCATGCAGATGAGCTTCCCTGAGACGGTTTCTGACAGTTTTTGCAGAAATTCTTCGGTTGTGCAAACCCACAGTTTCATCAGCTGTCCGGGTGGCTGGTTTCAGACGATCTCGCAGGTGAAGAAGCTGTATGTGGAGGTCCTGAGCTGGCGTGGTTACACTTGGTCTGCGGTTGTGAGGCCGGTTGAATGTACTGCAATATTTTCTAAAACGATGTTGGAGGCGGCATATGGTAGAGAAATTAACATTTAATTATTTGGCAAAAACTCTGGTGGACATTCCTGCAGTCATCATGCCAATATCACACTTCCTCAAAACTTGAGACATCTGTGGCATTGCGTTGTGTGACAAAACTGCACATTTTAGTGTGGCCTTTTACTGTCCCCAGCACAAGGTGCATCTGTGTAATGATCATGCTGTTTAATCAGCTTCTTGATATGCCACACCTGTCAGGTGGATGGATTATCTTGGCAAAGGAGAAATGCTCACTAACATGGATGTAAACAAATTTGTGCACAGAATTTCAGAGAAATAACCTTTTTGTGCGTATGGAACATTTCTGTGATATTTTATTTCAGCTCATGAAACATGGGACCAACACTGCGTTTATATTTTTGTTCAGTGTAAGTCCCATCAGGTAGCCTGATTTAAGATCTGTCTATGTAAAAAGGATTATTATGGAAATCCAGCTTCTTGCAAAGCATGTAAACGTTTTAAACAATCTATTATATTAATCTGACTATCCACAATAATCGTATTGTAACCATACACATTGTGGTGTATTGGTTTTTGTGTCCCAGATCACAGTGTAGAGATAGTAGTAGAGCCTAGTGTGGGCATTGATCATTATGACTGGGCTATGTGCTATGAGCATGGTCTCTCCACCTCCATTGGCAATGCACTTAAACTACAAAACTCTACAACGTCCATATGGTAGCCTATCTGTTCCATGCTGCTATGAATATCATCTATCACTGGCTAACACATTATGTTACAGCTAACAGATATCCCAGCATCCATTGTACACAATACACTCCTCACCTAATGTATACAATTCCATTGAACCACGACAAGCATCACGTCTCCATGGAGACCGGCAGTGAAATTGTGCAAGGGGCTTTCAGTGGCTATTAATCTATTAGAGATGGATTACAGATTCCATTAGTTAGTCTAATGCAGAGCCCCATCTGTGAGGGTTATCCCTGGGGCCCTGTGGCCCTGATAGGTATATATATATATATATATATATATATATATATATATATATATATATATATATATATATATATATGCCCATTGATCAAGAGATTTTAGCACTGTGCTGGGCTGTGCTGTGGCGCGGTTGAGGCTACGTCCTAAATGGTACCCTATTCCCTACACAGTGTACTACTTTTGACCAGAGCCCTATTGGCCCTGGTCAAACGTAGTGCACTATGTAGGGAATAGAGTGCCATTTGGGATGCATCCTGAGAGTCTTACCTACCTGGTCATACTTGGATGCCTTCAGGCTGTGGCTGGACAACTCAAGGTTCAGGCGATTTTTCTCCTGCAACGCATCCTGGAACTTAGTTTTCTGTGGAGGGAAAGAGAGAGGGAGAAATATAGGCAGGAGAGAGAGAAAGAGAGAGAAAGAGGGTGGGGGAGAAAGAGAGAATTAGTCTAAATATGACAGTACATTCAATGGTGATATCGGTGCATTGTCCCACTATATATTTGCATTAAATCATAAAGTAATAGTGTGTACAGTACAGCAATAGGCTACAATGCATGTTGTACGTTCATTCCATCTTTAAACGTGTACAGTTATACAACACATAGACATTCGTCTCAGGTTGTCGTATCCTTGTGTGGGCCGAAGCTGTTTACCAGGTCACAAAACCCCTTCGTTATATAGATGACAGGATATACAGCTGCACGTGTCACCTTCCATTTGGTGTGTGGCCACCACCATTAACAGTGCCACCATGAAATCTCCAATGACCCAGGAGATAAATCAGCACCCTATGGGCCCTGGTCAAAAGTAGTGCACTACATAGGGAATAGGTTACCATTTGTGACAAATATGTTGAGTGGTGGAGGTCTTCCCTCTGACAGATCTGGGGACGATCATGCCAAATCTCACACAGTGAAAGAGGTGTGAAGTGACTCTTGCTTTAATACAATTATGTAACAGGCTTAAATCCTGAACACACACAGAGAGAGAGAGAGAGAGAGAGAGGAGAGAGAGAGAGAGAGAGAGAGAGCAAGAGAGAGAGAGAGAGAGAGAGAGAGAGAGAGAGCTGTGAGGGTGGATGCCAACTCTAGACCCAGGGAGGATGGAGGATTTGTGGGGAGGATAAAGCCTCAGCAGGCTCCCTATCATCAAATTGTCTGCACATATGGAGGGACTCACTAAACAGCAGACTGCCACTGTGAGTGAGTAAGTGTGTGTGCACGCATTTGTTTGTGTGTGTGTAGGTACGAGCATGCGTGAGTGCATACATTTTCATGTGTGTGTGTAGGTGGTAAGGTGCCGATGACAAAATGGAGAATGTAATTTACCCTTTGATGTGTACAGACTGCATGTTGTTGTTGAACAAACCTGCTGTAAAATAAAAATAAAGAAAACACTGACAATAAAATGACTCACTCCACAAAGGGTTAACAAATGAAGACAAATGGAGCAACATGATTAAAAAACATTAGAAGACCAGGGTGTAAGTGGAGCTGAAAAGCATTCATTTCCAGTAAGGAGCCGTGCTGTAGAAACACACAGACAGACAGTGTCTGAAATCCATATTTGCGTGCTGGCCTGCTGGGTGGATGGTGGACAGACCAGGAGAGAGAGAGAGCCCTCAACACTCCCAGTGACTAATTCACACTGACATCTCTGGCTGTTTTCCTCCTGCACCCCCATCATCATCATCATCCCAACCCCCTAATTTAGCCTGTGGCACTGCATCTGGTCCGGACGCCTTGTCCAGCTCCCAGAACACAGGCCCAGAGAAATAGAGCATAGTGTGTGGGGACTCTGTCTATAACCCACTGCACAATGTTCATATTATATTAAATGTATTGCATTGTTGTTTTGTATCCACACATTTGCAATTATGAGCTACTATCACTGGGCATCTGACAATCGTATGAGGAGGATTCGAAACAGGGTTAATCTCTGTGTCTGTAGGAGCTGATTAGAGAGCAAACACATTATGGCTCAAGACTACAAGCCTACTCTTCTCTCCTCTGCATCCAGCAGCATCTTCATGTTAAGATAGTCTCTCATTTTAAAGTACTAAGTCAATGTCTAAAACACACAGAGAGAAGCACCTCTATACACGCGTTCTCTCTCTCTCACCCCAAGTGCTCGCTCTCTCTCTCCCTCTCTCTCAGAACGCCAAGGTAACCTGTCTAAATGACTATCGCCCCATAGCACTCACATCTGTAGCCATGAAATGCTTTGAAAGGCTGGTCATGGCTCACATCAACAACATCATCCCAACCACCCTGGACCCACTTAAATTCGCATACTGCCCCAACAGATCCACAGATTATCTTTATTGCACTCCACACTGCCCTCTCCTACCTGTATAAGAGGAACACCTATGGGAGAAGGCTGTTCATTGACTACAGCTCAGCGTTTAACACCATATTGCCCTCCAAGCTCATCACTAAGCACAAGACCCTGGGACTGAACACCTCCCTCTGCAACTGGATCCTGGACTTCCTGACGGGCTGCCCCCAGGTGGTGAGGGTAGGCAACAACACATCCGCCACCTGATTGCGTGATCACTGACGACGATGAGACAGCCTATAGGGAGGAGGTCTGTGACCTGGCAGTGTGGTGCCAGGACAACAACCTTTCCCTCAACGTCAGCAAGACAAAGGAGCTGATCGTGGACTACAGGAAACGGAAGGCTGAGCACGCCCCCATCCACATCAACGGGGCTGTAGTGGAGCGGGTCGAGAGCTTCCTAAGGAATTAACATGGTCCACACATACCAACAACCTTGAAGAAGGCATGACAATGCCTCTTCCCCCTCAGGAGGCTGAAAAGACTTGGCATGGGCCCTCAGATCCTCAAAAAGTTATACAGCTGCACCATTGACAGCATCTTGACTGGCTACATCACCGTTTGGTATGGCAACTGCTTGGCTGCAAGGCACTACAGAGGGTAGTGCGTACGGCCCAGTATATCACTGGGGCCGAGCTCCCTGCCATCCAGGACCTCTATACCAGCCGGTATCAGAGGAAGGCCCTAAAAATAGTCAAAGACTCCAGCCACCCAAGTCATAGACTGTTCTCTCTGCTACCACATGGCAAGCGGTACCGATGCACCAAGTCTGGAACCAACAGGACCCTGAACAGCTTCTACCCCCAAGCCATAAGACTGCTAAATAGTTAACCAAATAGCTACCTGGACTATCTGCATTGACCCCACTTTGCACTCTTTTGACTCATCACATACGCTGCTTCTGCTGTTTATTATCTATCCTGTTGCCTAGTCACTTTACCCCTACCTATATGTACATATCTACCTCAATTACCTTGTACCCCTGCACAGCGACTCGGTACTGGTACCCTGTGCATAAAGCCAAGTTATCGTTACTCGTGTATTTATTCCTCGTGTTATTATCTTTCTACAATTTTTTATATTCTTCTCTCTGCATTGTTACTTATCCAGGTTAGTCTCAATGAGATAAAATACATTTTTCAAGAGAGACCTGGTCCAACCAAGACAGCAGCAGGGGGGAGCAATGTTTGAGACAAATATCAGACATACTGTAACAATTTACAGACATAGACACACCATAAAAAAATATAAATATTGATGTAGACACACATACATTTCAATTACAGAAACATACAAGCATCATTGCTTTAAAAAATCAATCGTATGTACCACCGCATCAAGTCCTAACGACAATCACATTCCTCAGTAACATGCCAAACAAACTTTGAAACTCCTCCAAGGAAACAAGATCCTGGAGTTTCAAGCTGGTCTGGAGAGAATTCCAAGAACACAAAGATGAGTAGCTAAAAATGTTTTTGCCATGATCCGTTCTGATTTTAGGAACTGTTAAAAGTAAGTAGGTGTGAGACCGTAACTGGTATTTATTTTCTGACCTTATCAAAGAACAACAGAGATAAAGTGTTAGTCTACACCTGTTGTTTACAAAGAATAAAAATCAATTTTTTTGCATTCTCTCCCTCTCCTCCTCTCTCTATTTTTGTGTGCTTTTCTATGAGCAGGTGGTTGCTATGACAGCTCTTCCCCTTGCCTACAGCCACAGAATGCAGAGAGTATTGACACGTTACCCCTTCAGCCTGTCAGGGTAACATCACTGCTTTGACAGCTGCAGTGATGATGTCATCATCCTATGCTGGGGGTGTGATGCTGTGCACCAGTCAGAAAAATGTATGGATCAGTTCAGTCTGACATGGCATCATTCCTGTGCCATGCTACGTTACCAGATGTTAAAGAGTGACTAGGCATCCAATCACTCCATCAAATGACACAAACAAAGCATACTGAATGTCTCCTAGGCTTATACACTCCAGTCTACCAATCCCATCTTATTTCATCACTAGCATTGTCTTGGTGAGAGTGTAGTGTTAACATGGTTGCTTTATCTATACCTAGACAGATATTTACCTAAATGTCTTAGACAGACACTAAGTTGTGTGTGTGTGTTTCTTCAGACTAAATTAATTTCTGTTGACCCCGTGGTTTCCCGCTGGTCACTTTAAACTCCAGGGAGGATTCCCTAGGTTAATGAGACGACATGCAGGTTTGTTCCTGGGAACAGTAGGGAGACACTGGATGCCTCTACTAGGTGGCCTCTATACTGTCTCTTTGATGGGATTACTGGCAGGCAGGTCACACTGGGATACACTGCAGAGTTGGAGCTATACCATAGCACTAATCATCAGGGGCATCAGAGTTCATGTAGAACAAAAGCAGAAGATATCCTTATAGAGAGCACTGCAGTAGTCACTGAAGCATGGTTTAATGTGTCAAGTCTAACACACAACTTAGAATAAAGCAATGTATTGGGCATGCATTCTAAGTAGAACGTAACCAACCATTGGAACGTAACCAATATTTTGTAACTCTGACACCCATTTCCTCTAGCCACACCACCACTCTGTGTTAGTCCAGTGTGATGTAGATGATGTAGGACAGCGAAAGGGCAAAGGGAACGTGACATCACCCATAACCTTAATAGAAGGATCAGTTGTCCGTTCAGCACCATCAGGTCTGGAAGAGTCAGGACCTTGGGCAGCACTAGCTGAGCCCTTCCAGCCAGCTCTCAGCAGCAGTGAGGGAGGCCATGTGCCTACAGTTATACTATGATAGGACTTTCAGCTGATTCTACTTAACAATGTTCCTCTCACCTCTCTGTGTTGCAATACAGGTAGCTCATTCATAAAACACAAGTGAGTGGGGCTAATCCAGTGTTTTGGTGTGTGTGTGTGTGTATGTGTGTGTGTGTGTGTGTGCGCGTGCCATGAGTGTGTATGTGCTCTGTGTGTGCGCGTGCTATGAGTGTGTATGTGCTCTGTGTGTGCGCGTGCCATGAGTGTGTATGCGCTCTGTGTGTGTAAGTGTGTCTGTGCGTGCGATATGCTTATATATTCCTGCAGATCGCTAGCGTCTCAACAACCACACAGTCTAAGGAATAAACTATGCGTGTAAAGGTTGTTCTTCCTGAGCTGGCTGCTTGTGAAAGGCACAGAGAAAGACCCCCATCGCCTGCCTCCACAAAGCAGGATGAGTCTCAGCCAGGCTTTCTCGAAAGAGACAGAGGAGAGTACTGCCAAGAGAAAGGCCAGCACTACAGTCAGAAAGAATTTACTTCTTCACTGTATAATACACCTCCTCCACATCCTCCTCTCCCTCTACCGCGCATATCCTCCCTGCCTAGGTTGTGGGTGTGTGTGTTGAATGCATGCCGTGCATGCGATCGAGTTAGTCTGTATGCATGTATGTGAGTATGTTTGTATGCGGTGTGTATGCCAGTATGTGTGTGTATAAGTGAAGGGATCCAGCAGTGTGTGTGTGTGTGTGTGTGTGTGTGTGTGTGTGTGTGTGTGTGTGTGTGTGTGTGTGTGTGTGTGTGTATGTATGTAGGGCCTGGGGCCAGGGTGACATGCGTTGGCCCCTCTTGAGAACAAATGGGCCCCGGGGCTGTGAGGGACATGGGCTGTTCCACTCTGGCAAGGAGGCGTCAGGGGAGAGCAGAGCACGCATCAGTTGACATGCTTCCAGTCAAACAGCTACCCAGGAAAGGGCTGAAAATAGCCCATATTAATATATGTAGACTTAGAAATAAGTTTCATGAAATCAATAACTTGCTAACATCAGATAACATTCATATATTAGCAATTTCTGAGACTTAGATAATTCATTTGATGATACAGCAGCAGCAGTACAAGGATATAACATCTATAGAAGAGAGAAATGCTTATGGGGAGGTGTTGCTGTATATATTCAGAGCCATATCTCTGTAATGCTTAGAGAATATCTTATGTCAAGTGATGTGGTTGCAGGTTCACCTGGCACATCTAAAGCCTTTCTTTTGGGGTGTTGCTATAGGCCACCAAGTGCTAACAGTCAGAATCTAAATAATATGTGTGAAATGCTTGATAGTGTTGTATGTGATGTGGTCCTCTATAGCTCAATTGGTAGAGCATGGCGCTTGTAACGCCAGGGTAGTGGGTTCGATCCCCGGGACCACCCATACGTAAAAATGTATGCACACATGACTGTAAGTCGCTTTGGATAAAAGCGTCTGCTAATTATTATTATTATATTATTAAACAGAGAGGTCTACTTTCTTGGGGACCTGAATATGGACTGGTTTTCATCAAGCTGTCCACTCATGAGGAAGCTTCTCACTATAACCAGCGCCTGTAATCTGGTTTTAGGTTATTAATCAACCTACCAGGGTGTTTACAAACACTACAGGAACAAGACCATCCACATGTATTATTCACATTTTTACTAATACTGTAGAACTTTCTTCTAAAGCTGTATCCGTACCCATTGGATGCAGTGATCACAATATAGTAGCGATATCCAGGAAAGCCAGAGTTCCAAAATCTGGACCTAAATTAGTATATAAAAGATCATCCAAAAGATTTTGCTGTGACTCTTATTTGGATTAGGTTTAAAATATTTGTTGGTCTGATGAAATCAATAAGGAGCATCCAGACGCTGTACTTGATGAATTTATTAAATTGCTTCTTCCAATTATTGATAAACATGCACTTATCCTCTGCAGCAGAGGTAACTCTGTGTCTTCCATTCCTGTGGCGGTCCTCATGAGAGCCAGTTTCTTCATAGCACTTGATGGTTTTTGCGACTGCACTTTAAGAAACTTTCAAAGTTCTTGAAATGTTCCGTATTGACTGACCTTCATGTCTTAAAGTAATGATGGACTGTCGTTTCTCTTTGCTTATTTGAGCGGTTCTTGCCATAATATGGACTTGGTATTTTACCAAATAGGGCTATCTTCTGTATACCCCCCCCTACCTTGTCACAACACAACTGATTGGCTCTAACACATTAAGAAGGAAAGAAATTCCACATATTAACTTTTAAGAAGGCACAACTGTTAATTGAAATGCATTCCAGGTGAATACCTCATGAAGCTGGTTGAGAGAATGCCAAGAGGGTGCAAAGCTGTCATCAAGGCAAAGGGTGGCTATTTGAAGAATCTCAAATATAAAATATATTTTGATTTGTTTAACACTTTTATGGTTACTACATGATTCCATATATGTTATTTCATAATTTTGATGTCTTCACTATTATTCTACAATGTAAAAAATAGTAAAAAATAAGGAAGACCCCTTGAATGAGTAGGTGTGTCCAAACTTTTGACTAGTACTGTATGTGTTATGGCTTTTCAACCTCTGCCATATCGTGGATTCAGAGCTATCTATCTAATAGAACTCAGAGGGTTTTCTTTAATGGAAGCTTCTCTAATGTCAAATATGTAAAGTGTGGTGTACCGCAGGGCAGCTCTGTAGGCCCTCTACTCTTTTCTATTTTTACCAATAACCTGCCACTGTCATTAAACAAAGTATGTGTGTCCATGTATGCTAATGACTCAAACATATACGCATCAGCAACCACAGCTAATGAAGTCACTGAAACCCTTAACAAAGAGTTGCAGTCTGTTTTGGAATGGGTGGCCAGTAATAAACTGGTCCTGAACATCTCTAAAACTACGAGCATTGTATTTGGTACAAATCATTCCATAAGTTCTAGACCTCAGCTGAATCTGGTAATGAATGGTGTGGCTGATGAACAAGCTGAGGAGACTAAATTACCTTATATTGTAAACTGTCATTGTCAAAACATATAGATTCAATGGTTATAAAGATGGGGAGAGATGCTCTGCTTTTCGATACCACACTCCACAAAGCAAGTCCTGCAGGCTCTAGTTTGATTTTATCTTGATTATTGTCCAGTCATATGGTCAAGTGCTTCAAAGAAAGACCTAGTTAAGCTGAAGCTGGCCCAGAACAGAGCGGCACGTCTTGCTCTTCATTGTAGTCAGAGGGCTAATATGAATACTATGCATGCCAGTCTCTCTTGACTGAGAGTTGAGAAAAGACTGACTGCGTCACTTCTTGTTTTTATAAGAAACAACGTGTTGGAAATTCCAAACTTTTTGCATAGTCAACTTACACACTGACACACTGACACACACACAAGGGGTATTTTCCCAGTCCCCAGGTCCAGAATAAATTCAAGGAAACTTACAGTATTATACAGAGCCATGAGTGCATGGAACTCCCTTTCATCTTATATAGCGCAGGTGAACAGCAAACCTGGTTTAAAAAAACTAATAAAGCAACACCTCACGGCGCAACACCTATCCCCCATGTGATCTACTTGTTGTGTGTATGTACTGTCATGTACGTGTAACTGATAGATGCACACACACACACACACATACATACATACACACACACACACACTACAAATGTATGTCAATTGTAGTATTTTTTTGTCTGTAATGTCTTTTTTGTTATGTGTCAGACCCCAGCAAGACTAGCTGTCACCATTGGCGTCGGCTAATGGGGATCCTAATAAATCAAAGATCTAATCAAATCAAGATGACATAATACATTTGACATCACCGCGAACTATTGTTCCTATTCGTCACACTGGAGAATATCAAAGGATAAATAAAAACAGTTTTCCCCCCAAAAGTCACTTAGGTGGATCAGTGATCTTTGAGGTGACTAAGAATACCCTATGGCAAGGACTTACCCAAGTCTGACTAGGACTCCACCCACCAACACAACACACAAGACCCAAATCTCTAGCAAAACATACGACTGAAGAACGGCTAAATAATTCAAGGCTGACCCCATTGCACAGTTAAAACGTATGCTAGAAATACACTGAACCCTGTCATGTTGCTTAGCCCACTGTTTCCATGGCGATGGTACTGTATATGCCACAAAAGGGGATTCCACTAGGTCCTGTAAGCCTATACTGTTGACTCTACAGTACATGCAGTTGGGCTTGTGGACCCTCATCCTTCTCTAGTGAGCCCAGCTCGGTGACATCATGTGACTGAAGGGCAGTCCCAGGTAGAGGTGGCTGTCATGTTGGCTGTGTTTGAACAGGACCATATATACAGTCTCCCTACTGTCCCCATGGCCTGCTCCCCTCAGCCTGTGTTTAGCCCTGCTGTGGCTCAGTCCTCCACTGATAAATGATTCAACACTGCCAAGCACAGCACCACTGCACTGGGGACAAGGAGATAGGGGGAGCGAGAGAGAGGAAAATGGAGAGAGGATAGATGAGGGAACGATGGATAGACACTGGAAAGAGAGCAGGTATAACGATTAGGGCAGTGTCATGACTGTCCTGTCTGAGGATCCAAGGCCTCAGATCAGCTTGGCAAATGGCTGACAACAACCAAACCCCCTCTCACCCACAGAAGAGGGGAGGGGGGGCTGGGCCGGTTTTCACACCTTAACACATAAATTAGGCAGGAGGGAAATCTCCCTCTTGCTCTTCAGTATTGGTAAAGGAATGTCCCTTTGTCTCCAGAAGACTTTTGCTTCCAAAACTTTCACGTCCAAAAAGTGAATACTGGAACAATGTTTCTAACATCCGAATGTGTGGAATGATGACAGTTGGTCTATGGAAAACGAATGTCTATTTTGTGATGTCATTAAAAATGTTATAAAATGTTATAACGAAAATACTGTAATTTGGAAAGTATACTTACTCTATCTGTCAAGTTTACATCCAAATGTTGTATAAGATACATGATTAATTATGAGAGTATTTTTGTTAAGATAGGAATGTGATTTTAGTTTTCTAACGAGATAGTTTTCATATAAGCTTTGCACCAGTCAGTGGCCACACCCAAGTGAGCTCAGAGAGTGTGCCAGCCTGATGGAACGCCCCTTTTACCCAGAGTGCATAAAAGGCTAGGTAATGAAATTAACATTAGACCAGAAATACGTGAGACGGTGGTCTACACGTTTGAAAATGGTTGGAACGTTGAACCTCAACATGAGGGGAAGAAGATCACCTCCCAGACTAGACCCGGACATTGCAAGGCTGCAGCTGTGCGTGTAAAGTGGCTCAAACTCTGACTAACCACACAAGGTGGGAAGGAGAAAATCCCCTCTCAAGACAATCACTGGTACAGCTGAGTAGCTGTTCTGAGAACACTCCAATACAAGCCAGGACAACTAAGAAGAAGGACATTGTGACCTCTGGTGGACAACCAGAGCCTTACACCAACCAACCCCTTCCCCATAGAAGGATTGATTGGTGTCAACAGAGATAGACGACGGCAAACACGTAAATACATTCATGATTTCTTACCCCAAACGGGCGGTGGTTTGTGAGCAAAGTATTACTTTGAGGGTAGTTTCCAAATGTATCAACGATACGTTTGACTCACTCTTTGTCTCTCTCTCTCTCCCCCTCTCTTCCTTACCCCTCTTTTGATAACCAAGCAGTCATGTTGTTATTAGTCCGCTAGGGACTTTTTATCATGTATTATGTGTGTATGTTATTCTGTGTTATTATTTAGTTAGCTAGTAAATAAATAATTAAGCCAATTTGTATAGTGCTGAATCATAAGTAAAGATGGGGTTTGTGCAGATCCAAGAATTCTATGACCGTTCAGAATGAGACTGATAAGAGGTAAGGATTCATACGCTGACTGTGGTGCCCCAAACTTCTTCTGTGGTGCCCCAAATCCTAATTAGTTAATTGTTAATCGAGTAACAATTAAACATAGTTAGTTGATTCGATAAATAACAGTCATCATATTAATGAAAGTCACGTCACGACAGCAGAGAGAGAGAGAGAGAGAGAGAGAGAAAGAGAGAGACAGAGCGACAGACAGATGGACAGACAGACAGACAAACAGACAAAGAGAGAGATAGCACTAGGGGTGAGGGGCCTGAAGATAGCTGGGAGTGCCAGATAGCCCAGTGTTGTGGAAGTAACTAGTGTTTTCCATTAGTGCCGGCTGTCGGCTAATCAGCCGGTTACAGACTCATTTTCAGCCAGCTACATTTTCCACTTCATATTAACTAGGCTACTTTTAATTTTAATTCAATCTATTGATAGGATAAGCACCTGTCAGTCACAAAGCTAGCGATCACTGGTAAACGGAAGAGGCAAAGCGACAGATTTCACTCTTGCAAAAATCTGTCAGTTTCTATAGGCTTATTTTGGACATAAGCTTGTCGCCTGCCTTCCCGCCTTTGGGACAACGACTCCCATTGTTAGGGCAGAGACATGAGGATCTCATCACTATATACAGATCTCTGGTTGTTGTTGAATTTCTTTACACTGAGGGAGAGAGCATGTAATGTATTTGTATTTATTATGGATCCCCATTAGCTGCTGCCAAGGAAGCAGCTACTCTTCGTGAGGTCCAGCAAAATGAAGGCAGCTATAAAAAAAACATTACAATATATTTCACAACACATTAAGTGTGTGTCCTCAGACCACTACTCTACTACCACACATCTACAACACAAAACCAATGTGTACGTGTGTGTATAGTGTGTATGTTATCATGTGTGTGTGTGTATGCGTGTGTCTGTGCCTGTGTGTATGTGTGTGTCTGTGCCTGTGCCTGTGCCTGTGTGTCTCTCTTCACAGTCCCCGCTGTGAAGAGAGAGGTGTATTTGTATGTTTTTAAATCTGATTTTACTGCTTGCATGAGTTACTTGATGTGGAATAGAGTTCCATGTAGTCATGGCTCTATGTAGTACTGTGCGCTTCCCATAGTCTGTTCTGGACTTGGGGACTGTGAAGAGACCTCTGGTGGCATGTCTTGTGGGGTATGCATGGGTGTCTGAGCTGTGTGCTAGTAGTTTAAAAAGACAGCTTGGTGCATTCAACATGTCAATACTTCTCACAAATACAAGTAGTGTGAAGTCAATCCCTCCTCTACTTTGAGCCAGGAGAGATTGACATGCATACAATTAATGTTAGCTCTCCATGTACATTTAACGGCTAGCCATGCTGCCCTGTTCTGGGCCAATTGTAATTTTCCTAAGTCGCTCTGTGTGGTACCTGACCACACAACTGGACAGTAGTCCAGGTGCGACAAAACTAGGGCCTGTCGGATAAGTAACGATAAGTTGAAATCCACGACTTAGCCTAATTATTGTTTTCTATTGCGTGTTTCACATAGCCAGCCACACGGAGTCGTGTCACGTAGTATGCAATTTACTGTGTGTTGATTGACAACTGAACAACAAGTGTTGACTACAGCGGCGGCCGCTGATTGGCTGAATACCCAGGGCGCGAAGTGGTTGGAGTTGTCAACAAAGCAGCATGACAGAAATATGATGCCAAGTTTTCCGGTAGTTTCTTTGAGAAGATATATAAAGCGATCTGTGCATTTGAACAACAGCATAAATACACCTATTTCACTTTTGCATGTCAAAAACTGAATGACCACTGTTTTGAAACAGATTATTTTATATTATTTAGAACGAGCAGCCTGCTCATGTCACGAATGAAGGAGTGCACCAGGGAGAACCAGTGTAAACTATCTAACTGGGGATAGCTAGCTAACATAATGTCACAAAGCATGATGCACTAGCCAGTTAACTTTCATTCTGAAATAACTTAATATTTCAGAGTAAGTCAGATATTAGTTTAGAAAGACTAGAAATTGGCATGGGAGCTAACTAGTTAGCAAGCTACCAGCTAGCTATTGCTAGCCAGCTGCTTATCAAATATAGATAAACTGGTTAATTTGACCCAAAACAAATCTATGAAACTATTTCTCAATGTTTCTCAACATTACTGTAGCTGGCTAATTAATTTGAACATGACTAGAGCAGACCCAGAAGTTCTGACTGAATGGACGCACATTTGAGTGCTCCAGGACAGTCCATTTACTTTGTGTTGTTATAATTTCCGTTATGAAATCCTGCGATTTCATTGGGGCAGTTTGCCCTCAAAGCAAATTCCTGGGAAAATAATCGAAGCAATGTTCGACAAGGCCTTTGCGCCCACAGAGGCGGAGATGCTGCTGCTGGTAGTCACTGAGGGGCAGCGTAGTAAGTAACTGAACATTGAAATGTATTCCAGGTGACTACCTCATGAAGCTGGTTGAGAGAATGCCAAGACTGTGCAAAGCTGTCATCAAGGCAAAGGGTGGCTACTTTGAAGAATCTCAAATATAAAATATATTTTTATTTGTTTAACACTTCTTTGGTTACTACATGATTCCATATGTGTTATTTCATAGTTTTGATGTCTTCACTATTATTCTACAATGTAGAAAATAGTAAACAATTAAGAAAACCCCTTGAATGAGTAGGTGTATCCAAACTTTTGACTGGTAGTGTATATACAGTATATCTTTTTTTCTTTTTTGGGGGCGCCGCCCCTAATGCCCTAATGGGTGGGCCACAGCTGGTTGACTAGTTTATAAAAGGTGTCAAGCTGACTGAATAAAGTCTATCTCCTATATTCCTTTGCCATTCATAAATCATGCAGCGTGGTCATATGTCCATGGTATCGCATCAGGACAAGTAAACCAAAGGATTTCCTAGTTTCCTTTCCTAAGATGTCTGGGCTTGCCAGACAGTGATGCTAAAGTTAGTGATTCTCTTCAGTCAGTGTAGCCTACTGAATCGCATCGGTGAGAGAGCCGTTCATTTGGCTCCCTAATGTGTTTTTGGCAATTATCTACAGATAAATTATGAAAACATTAGATGAAGATGGTGAATCATCACTGCAGGAAAAATAGATAGTGGAGAGCCTCATTCTGGTCCAAATATGATAATTAGGGCCCTCACAGAATCCAGGCATTAAAACAAAATTAAACAATATTTAAACATTTATTGACCTTAGTAGGGAATCAAATAAATGTATTAAAAATTAATTAATTTGCACAAGTTTATCATAAGACGAAGAGAATGCATCAGTGATTCGTATTTCCTGCAACTTTCTGAAGAGGCAATGAGAATGCCCCTGTCTGTGTGTGTGCAGTGTGCGCGTCTTCCACTTTGTGTAGCCATTAGCGATGATGCTAATGAAAACAGTATTTTCTAGTAGATGGACAGGTTTTCCCAAAATTGTTAACTACAAAGTAGCCTATGCTTACATGGCAGAATTATATAATTATTATTTTCATCAATCCAGTGGGTATTTGTTTTGCAAACTCTACCATCACATGTGCGCTACAAAAACTCAGCTAAATCAGAGCCTTATGTGGATTAATTAAAGGGTAACTACACACAAAAATCTAAATTTATTAGATTTTTCCCAGACCTCAAAAGTGGTCTCATGATGTGGTTAAAGCATTGTTTTGGACTTAGAACATACAATTTTGTTGTTTTTCGATTAGAAGTTGTGGTTTTGAGAGCGAAAACCTGAAAAAACTGGGAAAACTGAAACCTAGAAAAACTAAACCGTTAATTTATTTATCAAGATAATGTGGGCTATTTACTTAATTTTTCTGTTTGAATAAAATACATAATTAGAAGAACTAACATCATTGTGGCAATTCATATCTTGCAGTAAAACTGTAAATAAGACTTTAATCTCAAGAGAAGACAGGTTAAGTCTTGAAAAAGGTTTAATGTTATCTTACTTAGAAAATAGTCCTGATCTTATAGGCCTAAAAAATATCCAAAACAACTAACAATACACTGAATTCATACATTTTTAGTCATTTAAATTATAAAGTCATGTCTTTCTACACAGTACCACAACACATTTTTCCAATTTGGTAGGTAAACTCTATAAAGTATTCAATAATTTAGCTGTGTATTTCAGATGGAATCAAGGCATTAGAATTAAGCCTGACCCCATTTTGTCGACTGGTTGATTGTTTAGTCGATAGACTGTTGGTCAACCGACATTTCTTTAGTCGAGCAATAGCACAAAAAAAATTAATGGTGTACAAGACACCTGTCTGATTCACGCCTGTCCATTGTGGAAGCCGTGGGGATGGCACAGTCCATCGCTAAGACATGTGCTACTGCAATTTAATACGGTTATATTACGTAAGAACAAGGGTGCAACACTAATTAAAAATATATTATTTTATAACAAATGCGCTTTCTCCAGCATTGGATAGCGGTCACTGTCCGCGTTTCTGAAGCGTCAGTGCGCTGTTTAATTGGCGCCTTTTCCTAGACCATGTTGCTATGTGCATAACAGCAAAGTTAACCAACACATTGGTGTTGAGAACAATGCATTGCTGGTTAAGGGCTTGTAAGTAAGCATTTCACTGTAATGTCTATACCTGTTGTATTCGAAGCATGTGGCAAATAAAGTTTGATTTGATTTGATTTGAGTTAGAAGATGAGAAAACAGCACTTGTCTTAATTGTTTAAGAAAAGGGAGGAGAGAGGAAACACCAACTTAATTGGGTCTATAATCAATAGCCTAACTTTTAAATGTGCCTGGCTTTATAAATCATCCATAAATATCTACAGAAATAAGACAGATCCTGCTTCTGTTTAAATGTTAGTTTAATAGCCTACTGATACCGTGAAACTTGGCAACCACAACATGTCGGATAAAAAAAATCCCTTAAAGCATCAGACAATCTCAGTGCATATAGTTGATTTGATTAAAACACATAGGATGTGTCTATATATGGCAAAAATACACGTTTTAACATTTCGACCAATCGTTTGGTCGAAACAACAGACGACTCTCAGTCGACTAAGATTTTTTTTTAGTTAGAATGTACCAGAGGCCACCAAAGTAGAGCTCTTTCAGCATAACATTATTTAGGGGGGCTATTCAGGAACATTGAGATTAGTCAAGGCTGTCTTTTTGCTGGCATTCTATTCCAAAGTGAATCTCAAGAGAAGAGGAGGAACATCTAAATAGAAGTTTGGTCCCCCCCCTCTCCCTTCATCCCTCCTCTTTGCCCCCTCACCCCCTGGCATCCGGCTGAGCTCAGCTGGCAGTGGATGGCAGTCTGGGAGGAAGACCAGAATGAGGAAGAAGAGGCGGGGGCCGTGAGCCACTAATGTCACGGCTGCTGCTGTTGTTTGAGGACTCACACCCACAGAACGAGAGAGAGAGAGAGACACAGAGACACAGAGAGAGAGAGACACAGAGAGAGAGAGACACAGAGAGAGAGAGAGAGAGACACACAGAGAGAGAGAGAGAGAGAGAGAGAGAGAGAGAGAGAGAGAGAGAGAGAGAGAGAGAGAGAGAGAGAGAGAGAGAGAGAGAGAGACAGAGAGAGAGAGAGAGAGAGACACACACAGAGAGAGAGAGAGAGAGACACACAGAGAGAGAGAGAGAGAGAGAGAGAGAGAGAGAGAGAGAGAGAGAGAGGGCGAGAGAGAGAGAGAGAGAGAGAAAGAAAGAGAATCATGCCTGTCGAAATACTGCAGAGTGAGAATTTAGGCTATATACCCTCCCTCCCACCTCTCCCATCTACACTCTCATCTTCTCTTGGTCCCTTTCACACACCCACGCAAACCACACACACAGGCATATGTACAGAGTACACTCAGGTCTGAAGACACACACACTTACACATACAACCTTTGTCAATATAATTGTGACTAGAGCGATTGATTTACTTTCAGCTTTGTTTCTAGAACCTGCCCCCACCTATGAGAAGAGAGCAGTAGTTGAGACCAGTATCAATGCAGCTATGATGTAGTAAGTGGAGAAAGGCAAATTCCCAAAAGCTTCCTCCCTGTCACCAAAAAAATGTTATGCAGTCAGTCTTTATGTGGTAGAAGCGGAATCTACATCCTGTAAATCTATGATACAACACAGTATTGGGATCAAATAGCATTTCTGCTGAGGAGACTCCCATCGTCTCCATGGCAACCCCTTGGCCAGGCAAAGGGAGAGGTTCAGGTTACACAACCAACATTCAAAATAACGAAAAGACAACACACACACACACACACCATTACATTGTACATTGTTTCTATAGTATGGAGACAGGTACTATAGAACATCTGCATTTCCCCCCCACCTAGTTTCCCATAGGAGAGGCTTGAGTCTAGGAGCTGATGTGACAGGCCTTAATGACCACACAGACCACACACAGCTATGAAAAACAGGTGGCAGCGTACAATGAGGAAGAGCGTGACAATGCAAGAGCACACAGCATCCCTACTGTGTCTCAGTAGAGTCACAATGTGCTATTACACTCCACCATCTCTCAGCTCTCCTCCAGCACAGTACATGGGAGAGGCTTCCCTCAGCCAGCCACAGACATACAACCACACACATGCTCAGAACACAGACACAACACCCAGGGGATAGAGGGAGGGATAAAGGGAGGAAGAGAGAGAGAGAGAGAGAGAGAGAGAGAGAGAGAGAGAGAGAGAGAGAGAGAGAGAGAGAGAGAGAGAGAGAGAGAGAGAGAGAGAGAGAAAGACTATGCAGTAGTTAGGGGAAGCTGAGTGGTGATGAAGGAGCAGTATTTACCGTATCTGCTGGCTAGCTAGCACTGTAGCATTGTGACTGAGATGCTGCTAGTGTTCCTTCCTCTTATCTTGGGTGGCTAAATGTCAGGCGGCTGCAGCAGCAGCTCCTGGGCCTGCATCTCTCCCTCCCTCCCTTCCTCCCTCTCTATCATTCCGCCCCGACTCTCTCTCTCCACCTATTCCCCCCGTCTCTCTCTCTCTGCCTCCTGACTCTCTGTCTCTCTCTCTTCCCTCTCTTTCTCTCACGCTCTCTGGTTGTGCAGCTAGCTGTAGAATCCCCGGTGCTGAATTAATCTCCTACCAGCAGCAGTAGCAGCAGTTGTGTTCTGGGAGCTGTCCTTTGAGGGGGAAGCTGCCCTGCCTGCCGGGGGCTGGGCTTCCAGTGGACTGGCTGCCTGACTGACTGCCTCCCTGCCTGACTAAAGGCTGGAGATGTTTGCTGAGGGGTTGGTCTGAGGCTGGATAGACCCCTCCTCCGACTCCATGCAGCTGTGGAGCAGGCGTAGTCGATGGGGTGAAGCTAATAGGGCAGTGCTTGATTGATACTGCTCTCTCTGTCACACACACAGTCACACACACAAGCAAGCATGCAAACACTCAATGTTAATTGCTAGCATGCTAAAAGTGTATGCTGCCTGTGACTGCAGCAGGAGGAGCAGAATGGGCGGAACATGTTTGACTGTAGATAAATAGCCTACTGTAATTCTCTGTCAGAATGGGCAGAACCTGTTTGACTGTAGATAAATAGCCTACTGTAGTTCTCTGTCAGAATGGGAGGAACATGTTCAGTCCCTCCAGGATTCTGTGATCGCATATTTTTTTCAAAATCAGCAATTTCCTGCATATTATGTGAGGGCTTGCAAATTTGACCAATCACTGCACTATTTCAGCATAAAACAGTCAAATCTTCGCATTTTATCGTATAAAACTGACCCATCACCGCAGTACAAAAAGAGGGCTCGCAATTTCAACCTATCACTGCACATTTACTGCATAATATGGTTCAATCAAGCCACACGTCAACAAACATTTTCACAACAAATTGGACACCATGAGAGAAAAGAGAAACACGCACGCTGCTCTTGCTAGTATGACTGTTCTTTATTAAGCTTTATGTATCGGCCTCAAGGACTTTGTCAGAGCTCAAATGTGCAAGTGCCTTTTGAATTTTGAACAACAAATTTGACAAAATAATTACATATTGCCATGAAACATTTCAGAATTGCAACAGCAAAATTAAGCATTTTTGGCCACAAATATCACAAAAAATCTCTGTGAAATACTGGAGGGAATGCCTGTTTGATACTGTTGTTCTCTGTCAGGGCTCTGACTCTGGGGGAGGCGTGTGTATGTAGATGTGTTACTATGCTCAGTGTGTGTGTGTGTGTGTGTGTGTGTGTGTGTGTGTGTGTGTGTGTGTGTGTTTAGGGTTTTTTCTGCCACACCCACCACCTAAGCCCCATTTTGATCCAGAAAAAACCCTGGTGTGTGTGTGTGCAGGGTTAGGAGGTGCAAGACAAACAGGGAGGGGTGAAATGTGAAAGAAAAGCTAGATCACTGTTCTGGAAGAACAACTCCACACCTGAGCATTCAGAAATATCCTGAGGGGCAAACAAGAAGTCAGAGATGGAAAGAGGAAGAAAAATAAGAAAGCTAAGAAAAGGTATAATTATGAATTCAGAAAAAAGTAAATGACATGGGAATCAATGGTGCATTATGAGATGTGTCCTAAAGAGGTACGGAACTCAGGTGCACATTCCTAACCTAAAGCATGCTGGATCGATTTAATAATCTGTTGTGTGTTGTGATGCTTGGTGCTGGCCAGTTGAATTAGTAATCTTCCCAGTTTTAACACAAATAGAATCAGCTCAAATACACGCACACACACGCACACTAGGGTTGAATATTTTCCCAGTATTTTACAAATGTTCCATCCTGAGAATAAATCACTTTTCTCCCAGGTAACCTGGTATTTCCCACCAAAACTGGGAATGTCATTCAAAAGCTTTATAAAGCATTTAAAAAGGCAAGGTCTGGATTTGATTAGAGCTTTGATCAAAAATTCAAGCCTGATGCTACCTGGGCCTGATGAGCCATACATTAAATACATTTTATGAGCCCTACATTACTGAGCCCAAGCCCAAAAAAGCCCAAATGATTGTGCCGTTATCCAATACATATATGATATAGGCTACTGCACATTAAGCGCGACAGAAAAACATGAAAGCCCATAGATGAAGCTAGCTACAGTTGAAGTCGGAAGTTTAAATACACTTTGGTTGGAGTCATTAAAACTCGTTTTTCAACCACTCCACACATTTTTTTTTTTTTTTTTTTTTCAGGGGGAATGGATCATCTTAATATTGCAAATAGATTGTATATTCTATCAATGTAATTGTCTGCATCACTTCCAATCCCCCATGTTTTTTTTTTTTTATATATATATACTCCCCTTTATTACTTTTCAACCCCACCATCCATTCCCTACTTGGAGTAAATTAGTGAACAACAATGCCCAGGCCTCTACTTCCGGTCTACACTTACTATCTACACCTTATGGACAGAGTTAATTTTACAATAATTCTATTATATATATATTTTTTATATTTTTTATTTTTTTTGCTCCTGAACTTCTTCTACTCTCAACCTCTCCGATCATTTTCATGGTGTCCATCCGGTTTGCTTCTATATGCCATATCCTTCCAACTGAGCTCCTTCCCAAAAGCTCCCAACATACAACCTATATACTTATTATGGACACAGTATGCTTACATTATTAGCTATCTTTGTTATTATTTGTTGTTATTTGTTATTAGTCCCATCCTTCAACTCTATTCAATACCTCCCATCTATCTCTTAACACCATCCATATAGGATTTCTATTTGCCATATATATTTCGACCGTACTGTGATGTTTTACAAAAATTCTGAACCTTTCTATTCTCATTGCTTCTACAGATTGTGAATTAAAAATAAACATTTTTGCTAAAAATATTATTATATTATTGATTGATTGACTATGACTTTTCAGATCACCCAGTAATGCTATCTGCAAGGTTAGTTCCAGGTAAATATTGCAATCCTTTAGCCATTCCTGGACCTGTGTCCAAAAACAAGCTACAAATGGACAGTACCAAAACAAATGATCTAATGATTCTGTCTCTTCACAGCAAAACCTGCAGAGCTGGGAAGATTGTATCCCCCATATAAATAACATTCTATAGGTAGCAAGAATTTTATATAATAATTTAAATTGAAATATTCAAATTTTTGAATCCGGTGTCGTTTTGCGTGTCAGTTCATAAACACTATGCCATGGGATCGGTACGGCAAAGATCTCTTCCCAACTATTTTGCAATCTATATGGGACGGCTGTCAATCCTTTGGTCCTTAAGTGAAACTGATATACTTTTTTATTTATCACAGTTTTCCTTAACCAATTATGTTCTTTAATGCAAGGCCGACAGACAAGTTCCTTACTTTCTCCCCCTTCCACTTTTGCGGTAAGGCTGCAATTATTTGGTTGTAATTTTGGGTAGAGCAGACATTTCCATATGTTTTTGTTAGCTGCATGTGCGACATAACTCCACCAGTCCTACCGATGATATCATTTACGAAGATTATACCTTTTTTAAACATTCTGTCAAAAAATAAAGGTTTTTTGTCAATTAGTATATTTGAATTTAACCACAATATTTGTTGCATTATTTGTTCTGTCGTTTCTGGAGGATTAAATTGAAATTGCAACCAACTTTCTATGGCTTGTTTTAGAAATAGTGACATTTGGGAGATTATTTCCTTTTCAAATAACTGAAAGTGAGAGGTTGTAATCTGAATAAAGGGAAAAAGGCCTTTCTTGAACATTGGGTGAGACAATCTTACTAATTTGCTTGAGAACCAGTTCGGATTTAAGTATAACTTTTGTATGACTGAAGCTTTTAGTGATAGGTCTAATGCTTTAATATTTAATAATTTCTGTCCTCCGAATTCATATTCATTATATAAATATGCTCTTTTAATTTTGTCTGGCTTGCCGTTCCAAATAAAATTGAATATTTTTTTCTCATATAATTTAAAAAACTGTTCGCTAGGCGTAGGCAAGACCATAAGCAAATAGGTAAACCGGGATAATACTAAAGAGTTAATCAGGGTGATTTTTCCACAAATTGACAGGTATTTTCCTTTCCATGGTAGTAAGATCTTATCTATTTTTGCTAACTTTCTATTAAAATTTATTGAAGTGAGATCATTTATTTCCTTTGGGATATGTATTCCGAGTATATCCACATCACCATCAGACCATTTTATTGGTAAACTACATGGTAATGTAAAAATTGTATTTTTTAGTGATCCAATACGTAATATAGTACATTTGTCATAATTTGGTTGTAATACAGAGAGGTTAGAAAATTTATCTAGATCCTCTATGAGGCTGTGGAGGGATTCTAGTTGTGGATTTAAAAGAAAACATGAATCATCAGCGTACAATGACACCTTTGTTTTTAAGCCCTGTATTTCTAATCCTCTGATATTATTATTGGATCTGATTTTAATAGCTAACATCTCGATGGCCACAATAAATAGATATGCCGATAGTGGACATCCTTGTTTCACTCCTCTTGACAGTTTAAAACTTTCTGAGAAATGGCCATTATTTACTATTTTACACCTAGGGTTACTATACATGATTTTTACCCATTTTATAAGAGATTCTCCGAAATTGAAATGCTCCAGGCATTTATATATAAACCCCAGTCGAACTTTATCAAATGCCTTTTCGAAGTCTGCTATGAATAGCAGGCCTGGTTTCCCATATTTTCCATAGTGTTCTATTGTTTCCAATACTTGCCTTATATTATCTCCAATGTATCTTCCATGTAAAAAACCTGTCTGATTAGAATGAATAATATCCGACAATACCTTTTTAATTCTATGCGCTATACATTTTGCTAGGATTTTTGCATCACAACACTGAAGTGTAAGGGGCCTCCAATTTTGTAAATGGACTGGATCTTTATATTTTCCACTTGTATCCTGTTTCAATAATAATGAGATCAGACCTTCTTCTTGAGTGTCAGATAATCTACCATTTACATAGGAGTGGTTAAAACATGCTAATAATGGTCCGCTTAGTATATCAAAAAAGGTTTGGTATACCTCGACTGGTATGCCATCCAACCCTGGAGATTTCCCGGACTTAAAGTCTTTAATTGCATCCAGAAGTTCCTCCTCTGTAATTTCAACTTCACATGAGTCTTTCTGTGTGGCTGTTAATTTGACATTATCAATAGAAAAAAAATCTCTACAATTAGCTTCAGTTAGAGGAGATGGAGGCGACTGAAAGGAAAACATATGCTTAAAGTACTTTGTTTCTTCCTTCAAAATATAATTTGGTGAATTATGGGTGACTCCGTCAATTGTAACCAGTTTCATTAAGTTCTTTTTGGTAGCATTCCTATGTTGAAGATAAAAAAATAATTTTGTG